AATACTTAAAGATTCATTAAAGCATGGTATTTATTAACATTAATGTTATTTTTACTGATTAGAATAATCCATTTTGGCAAAATTTTAAATTGCCGAATGTTGGACAAAATTCAGTCTAACCTTAGCGATCATTACCAAAAAAATTAGCAACTAATTTTATAGTGATTTATACCATAATGCCTGTCATTTGTTAATAAATCGATCAGTAAAATTGCTAACAAATTGTTAAAATCAAATTAATGATTGTTAATAATTAATCTAATTATTACTAATTTTGTATATTTAGTTAATTTTAATTTGTATTAATAATTTATCAATTAAATTCTATTAATTCGCTTTACATATTAAAAATTTCATATTAAATTTAATATTTATCTATTCACTACATTATTTACCACCACACTACCCATCATCCACCATTTTTACTGATCTGATAAAAGTCTAATTCATAAATTTTTTAAATAAAAAAATTGAAGTTTCAAAAGTTCAAAATTTACTTACCATCTGATAAAATCTAAAATTCAACAAAAATCCAAAAAAAACTAAAAAAAATAAAGAAATGATTAGTATGATACCGATTCTTTAATAAAAAAAATAAAGTTTCAAAAATACTTTTCTTAAATTCTATTGGTTAATTAGCTAAAAAGGAAAAAAATCATAACAATGTAACATAAAATTTCCTTTTATAATAGGATTTGCAAAGAATTTTATATATGATTTTTACTTTAGACCTGTAGGTAACTTATCTTATAAGTAAGTGGGAACCTGTTTACTATTTTCAACAATAGAGATCTTATATGAATTTTGCAGATTTGATATATATGTAATGCAATCTACACAATCTGCTTTACCATTTTGATTCATTATAGTTTTTTGATAAGTGAAAGTTTTAATGGCCTTATTACCTCTACAAAAAATGTTAAAAATTAGAGATATTACAGCTATATAATAATGTAGTGATAAGAAAAATGAAATCTATTCTTACTTTTCAAGAATATGAATGTATTTCAATTTTAACTATTTTACATATTAATTTAGATGAAAAAAAGGGATACCCATATAGGCTAATTTGACTCACCAACCAAATGTCACATGAAAATAAGTATGACAATATCGAACCAATCAAATTTAATGTAACAAGTGAAAAAAATCAAAAAAATATTTCGAATGCTTCTTTTATGTAATAAAACCATTATAAAATACTGTCAAAAATAAACAATAACCCTTAAAAATATGCTGTTTATTATATAAATACAATAATTATAATAATATTAAACAATAATGCCTAAAAAATAAAAATAAACCTATTAATATATTTAAAAAAAATTTTACAGCATAAACTGCTGTTTAAAATGCCTTAATAAACGTAATAATGTGCAAATAATGTTATAAAAATAAAGCACATTATACTAACTTTAATATATCACATATTTATAACATCCAATAGGAAAACGATTTCCCAATGATTTCCCATCATATTGTTTTTTTGTAGAAAACTTATCTAAGTTTATTTTATTTGCAGATTATCACAAATTTCATATATATTCCTTAATTATATCACCTGATCATTAATTAATGAAATGAGTCAGATCAACCTATATACATATTATTATCTTTTTTCATTTTTTTTTCTCTTAATTTTTTTTGTAGAGAAGTTCATATAGTTAATATAATACTAGTTTGTCTTATTTCTGATTTATAAAATTCTATAATTAAAATTAAAAAAATTATAAAAGTGTAATAGTTTTTATAAAAGCTAACACAATCATATCTCAATAAAAAGTTTAATGAATAACTATATAAACCAATTACTAAGTGTTGAATTTATATTATAATAGTAAAAATTTGTTGTTTTTATATTATAAAAATAAATAAAAGACTTTACAATATATTTTTTTTAAAAAATATGTAAAGTACCATTCAATTAGATGGACTGATACTATATATTTATTCTTGAATTCTTATTAGTTAAACTTATTAAGGTTGACATCATTGAAACTGGTTTAAGAGGACCCCAAACATCTCTAAAACAAACATGTTATAGCAGCCTTTATCTTTATTAAGTATTTATCGAACTTTACAAATTTACATATATAAAAAAAGAAAATAAAATAAAAACTAACTAAAAACAAAGCTATATAGTCTTCTAGAAAGAAATTAAAATTAAAAGAAAATTCAAAAAAAAGAAAAATTGCTAATACTAACACTTCCTAGATCTTTTCCCTTGATATATTCCAACCAAAGTAGAAGCAACTATGCTAACAAAATAATGAATGACGCGCCCACTATTAAAATCGACACTCCATCCTGCAAAAGCTGTTATTAAGTAGCACCGTTAGATGACCCAAATGTGATTAAACTAAGATAATCCATACTGCATTGAGTTTTTTAACCAATTGGTTCCAGAGTCACGTGAATTAACATGGGTCGGAGGTGGTAAAGATGAGAAAGGTAAATATGAAGATTTAGGCAAATCTTTAGGTCTTGAAGAATTTTTAAGTTTTGAAGTAATATTCATCACATGTTTCCATAATCCTTTATCATAAGAATGTGAATTCCAAATCCGTTTCTGGAATTTATTGATAAAATTATTATGAATAGTGGCAATTACATTCATGGCAGTGAGACAAGGAATATTTAAGTCCTCAAACACTTCTAGAAAAGCAGAAGGCAAACAACCACAGACCAGACTATATATAGGAGGACTAGTTGCTAGAAGAGAAAAACCAACAAGAGAAGGAGGTGATTCTATTAATTTGAATGGAAAAGTCGTGATTAGCATTATTGTCAGCTTCTTTAATTTTAGCAGTTAAGTGGCGCATGTAGGAATTCAAAATTTGTTGCAATTTAATGCGACATCTTTTGCACATAAACAAGTGCATGAAATCTTTGAGTTGGTCTTCACAAGGGCAACAGGTAAAAATTTCTATATACAAATTAGGTCGTAGCTGCTTAAAAGATGCAAGAGTAAATAAATCTTTCAAGAAAAACTGGAATTTCAATGTATAGTGTTTAGAAGCATTCTCCAGGGTAAAAGAATTATCGTATTTGAGTTGGAACATTAAAGTATGCCAAGTAAGAGCCTAATTAACCACATATTGTAAGAAGTCTGTTAAAAAGAGAAAGAAAATGGAAACACAATAAAGCCAACAGGTCTTTCATATAGAGCATTTGATGGTATTGCTTAAATAGATGCTTATTAGGATTAGATTCACAAACCACATCATTATATCCAAGGATAAAATCATGAGCTGCAGCTAAAGTTGCCTGCCAAAACTCTACAGGCTATTGTCAAAATGTTGAAACTAAATGCCAAAATAGTTTCGACATGTCAAAATTGTCGAAACCTAAAAATATTACGTTTTACATAATAACTTGGAATTCAATGATCGTAGAAAGATGCACTATAACTTGTTGGAATCGTCTTATAACGACGATTCGAATGGTGGTTAGATCGTCTTTTTACAATAACTGGATGCCAAGATATTGAGTGAAATGTCAAAAATCAGCATTTTGTATTTTGTGATACTGTACCGTTTAACGTTTCGCCTATTATCTCGGCATCCAGTGATCATAAAAAGATGATTTAACCACCATTCGACTCGTCGTTATGAGACGATTCCAACGAGCTATAGTGCATCTTTCTACGATCATTGGATGCCGAGTTATTATGTAAAACGTAATATTTTTAAGTTTTGGCAATTTTGATATGTCAAAACTATTTCGGCATTTCGACAAATCAGAGAGCCAATGTCGAAATGTCAAAATAGTTTCAACAATTTCAACATGCCGAAACTCCCTAATTTCAGCAGGCAACTTTACCCTATATATACTGTAAGGGTGGTTAAGAGTTGGAAAGAAGAAAATGAAGTAAACAGCTTTCCTTGGCCTGCACAGAGCCCAGATTTGAATCCTATAGAGCATTTATGTGATGAATTGGAAAGGCAGGTGCAGGCATATAAGTCATTACCAAAAAACAGGGAGAATTTATGGGAAATACTTCAAGAGGAATGGTCAAATATTGAAGCTGATAAATATCAAAATCTTATTAGTAGCATGCCTCGTTATATTTAAGGTTGCTTGCCGAAACCTAGGGGTTTAGGCAAGATGGCGTTTCGCCAAAAAGCAAAATTCTGCCAAAACTATATTAAAGTTGTATTAAAAAACTGGTGAAACTTTGGAGAAAGGTGAAACTGCTGAAACTTATTATAAATGTCAAAACTGCTGAAACTCTGCCGAAACTATAATAAATCTATAGTAAAATTTTAATGAAACTAATCGTAGGATTTTGAAGAGATTTAGACAAGCAACCTTAGTTATATCTCTGCTGTTATAAATAGTAAAGGTTACCCAACAAAGTATTAATAAAAAGTTGAAGACTTTGTCTTTCAAATAAAAAAAAAAATATTAAATTTGGCGTAGTAATTTATGAATTATTTAATTTTAAAAATTCACATTAAAATTGATTGACATCACATGCTTACTGACTTTTTTCTAGACACTGTACAAAAGCAAAAAGCTTTTTCATGACTAAGAAACGCTTCAAAGGTTGTGATAGCATATTACAACATCACATGACTTGTGACGCAATAAATTTATGAAGTCGAAAGTGTTGCCAGAACATAATCTATATCATCCTGAGAAATATGTGTCAATGTTAAGACAGTGAAAGTCTTAATATGCTTAATCTTATCAACCCCCAACTCATTAAACATCTCATAAATCTTCTGGGCTCTTTTCTTTGTCTTTTGAAGCAAGTCTTCATTAATAGAATCGGGAATCTGTTTTCTAACCTCATTATTTACCAACCTTTAGGATGTATGCATGGGATTGGATTTCCAGAAAAAGTCGTATCGATCCTTTAATGCCTTACTGAAATGGAAATAGTGAAGAATTAAATTTTGAGCCGTTTTCTTACTAGCATCTTCAGCATTAAGAATATCTTTATACAGTTTGAGGAAATCGATGGGAACATTCATACTAGAAGTGGAGAAGGAATTCTATTGTAATGAGATATCATCTTCAGAATCATTTGTTAATAGTTCCTGAATAAGGCGTTTTAATATGGGTGAATTATCTCTTCCTAAAGGTTTGGCCTTTTTTCTTGAGGTCTTTTCAGTGAAAGAGTTACTAGTTCGCCTTCTTTGTGTGGTCAGAATTAATTGCAAATTTACTGGACAGGTAGGACACCTCTTGTTTGAATTGTCAATGCAATTAAAGTGTACAGCATGTTTACAGGACAAGAAGACGGTATCTTTAGGGAAACCTAAGGTGATTTTTTTAGAACATTTGGCATATGTACCGATTTCAGTTTCTTGAATAAGTGCATTCTTGACTACTTTCTCCATCGGATCTTCTAGTATGACCAGTGAATTCAGAACAAACTTTTCACCCATCAAGTTAGAAATAGCTGAAGTTCTGCTTGATTGGGACGATTGTGAATTTCTCCTAGTAAAGGGGTATATGATTTCAGCTTTCTTCCCACATTTGGGAAATGGACACATGCCTAGTTAATTTAGAAGCTGTTTCTCTACACATATCTGGTGAAAAATATGCTCACATAAGAGTATTGTAATCGCTTTGAGAAGGAGTGTCAAAACCTTCATTGTACATTCAGAAAATGGTCTTAGTTCCAAAATTTCTTTATCTTTTACAAGTTCATCATTAAGATTTTTTAGGATATTATAAGCAAGATTCTTATAATTGGTAAGAGTTGAATGAGGTCTTTCTGGAACCTGAAAAGATTCTGGACCTTTGATTGATTCTAAGTCTGACATAATGGATTTATCTTCTAGTTTATAGCCAACTGCCTGTCTTATATAGCACTAGTAAATGTTCAGAAGAAAACATTTTCCAGATTCTCACTAGCAATTACGCACTGCATTTCATCATATTGATGATTCACGAAAGATTAGTATACAGACTCCCAAAATCCATATGCGAAATATTGATTGCTAAAAATATATCCATATCTGAATATTGTTTTAATAATATATCTGGAGGTATGATACACAAAAAATAATGAAATATATATATATGCAAATCTTACATCATAAGCTCCTGTGGATTTTCTGGGTGGTGATCAGTCTATATGATGAAGTCTATGCTTTTACAGATACAGTCTGACTTCTGTATAGTTACCTAATTGGTTTTGCCAAAATTGGTAATTTTATAAAAGTGTGACAGTAAAAAGGTAACCTTTATAGAATCACTGCCATATTAAAAATCACATGCTGTAATTATATAAAGGTTGGTTCGAAGTTTTTCTGTACTAGTATTAATTATTAATTTAAAACAAAAATACTAAATGAATTATTAGATTGTATATAAATGCATGTATAAATATATATACTGTATAATGCTTAAATTTTTAAATTTTGTAATAAATGCTTTTATTAAATGTTAATATTACAAAAATGTTCAATATCAATTAAGAACTCATCAAATACTGAAAAAATAATCCATAATTGATGCCTGCTTTCAGAATTGTTGCTCCAGCCATTTGATAATCTTAAAGTACCTTTTAAAAAGCTTTAAATCTTCTGCATGAAATTCATTATCATCTTGCTGCTCATAAAACGAAATCCATGTCTCTAAAGATTTGAGTGCATTACCAGGAGATACTAAAGTATCATTTTCGGAGTTACTACTTTCATCTTCATCACGCGCATCCTCCTGGACTAACCTTATAATATCAATATCACTTAAAATATCTTCTGTCTGCATTTCTTCCAATTCTTGAAAGAAATTGTTTAATTCATTTGCCAATAAAGCAGCAGAAGGATTATTCATATCAAGCTTTTTGATCATTTGATTGATATCGGCTGTTTCACTATCCATCATTTCTTGTTAGATTCATGATACGTCATCTCTGTCTTTATCTGATAAAGAAGGTAAAATTCTGGTTTTTCTTCAGCAGTTCTGAACTGTTTCTTTAGTCACGCAATTTCATGATTCAGTGACATAGTCAATGGCCTCCTTTATGTTAATTTTTTTGCTGTTAATATCTTTATCTTCCTCAAAAAGGTCCAGCATATGACGGCAAAATTTTCTCTTAAAGTAATTTTTAAAACTTGCGATTATTCCAGCATCAAGAGGTTGGAGATGGCTTGTGGTATTAGAAGGTAAGAAAACCACTTCAACATGAGTTAGTTGAATCTGGGAGATGTCAGGTTGATACCCATCTGATCCATCATGATAACTATCTCCTGAATGACCCCCGTGACCTCTTGAATGACCACCACGACCTCTTAATCCACTAACACAACCATCACGACCTCTTGATCCACTAACACGACCACTATGGCATCTGGATGTTTGATTTTCTGGTAAAAATCAGAAAAAGGTAACAGTTTTGGACATTATCTCAAAAATGTTATCAGAAAAACGTTTTTATTTTGAGAAAACGTACTGCAACTGTTAATTAGTAAATTAATAGATCGAACTTACCATTAGATGCATCATTATCATCATTTTGATCAATTTCTAAGGCTGGCGAGTAGTGGGGGTCGAAATGTGACAGAGCATTATCAATCAAAAGCAAGATCTTTTTATTTTGAATTCTGAAATATCTATCCATTTCACAAAGAACCTCTTCGAAAACTGATGAGTTCATCCACGTCTTAGGATTACCTCGATAATATACAGAAAGATATTCCAAGTTAACCTTTGAAAGAGGTCTTGAACGCTTAGAATTTTCAATAACCTACAGCTTTAACTTGTCAATTCCTGTCACATTAACACCAAGAAGAATAGTAACTCGAGTTTTATCCTTCTTTCGACTGGAAACTGGCTTTTATGAGAGTGTTTCACTTGGTGACATACGGTAAAAAAGTCTCTAAGGAACAAAAAAAAATTAATTTTTGTTCAAAGTTCATTACACGCGTTTCTAATTCTAAATTATGCATTATGCACATGTTCAATCAGGATTATGCAGATGATCGATATATAGAACGTTCTGCTACATTCCGATTAATTTTTTTAACACCTTTCATTCAACTTTCAATAAAAAAAGAAGAGAAAACTTACCGTTTCGTCAATGTTGTAAATACAGTCAAAAGAATATCGACCTAATACTTCTTGCAACCTTGCTCACTCTTCCGAAAGAGATGCTAATGGTGCACTTTCTGATTCCCCGTGTATACAGTACTTACGAATGTTATTACATTTTTTAAACTTATATAACCATCCATTAGAAAAAGATAAATCTTCTTCTTGAATATTAAAACTTCGCCAAAGGTTCTTGCTTTTTCTTTTATTAACAAATCTGTTAATATTATGCCACCGGCTGTCACATTCTCCACCTATAGGCTCATTGCATATTCAAGATCCAGAAACTTGACTTCTTTATGTCTAAATGTTTGAACTGAATCTTCAGCGTTTATTGCTTTCCACCTGTCACTTTATGCCAGAATCTTTGAAATTGTGCTCCTTTCAATATTCAAATTAGGGCACTTTTCATTGAAGTGGTTTGCAATATCTTCATGTCTCTTGCTCTTATTTGCTATTGACCACTCACATATCTGATGTTTAACATCATCACTTATAGCTATGCGACGTTATTTTGGTTGGGGTCTAATAGGAGACATAGTGAGAGTTTTTCATGTCTTCATGTTAAGCAATGATCTATTGCTGCGAATTTATATGATTTAATGTATCACAAATTGAATGATCAATCATATTTAAGGTTGCTTGGCTAAACTTATTTTAACTTTTAACAAAAGTCTAAACTTTAATTAGTAATAGTTTAAACTATGACAAAAGATTTCGACAATAGCTAAATGTCTAAACTATGTCTAAACTTTCTAATTAATAAAATTTAAAATAAATAATTATTAATACATTATTATATATATTTAAATAAATTTTTTACAAATAAATATTATATAATTATTAATAAATATAATTAGACCTTCATATAGTAACATTTCATATAGTTACATCATATAAAATTTCTCCTTATAATCACACCTTTGAGAAAATCCAATTTATATACTTATTATATAAAAAAACCTTTATATAATTACATCATAGTAAAAGCGAGCCTCTATATAGTTACCAATTTTTATAGAACCGATTAGATAACTATATAGAGATCTGACTGTACTAATAATAATATATAAAAAGTAAAATTATAAAACTGGTTATTAATTAAACTTACTATATATTTTAATATATATAATGATTTAAATAATTAATATAATGTATATTAAATTTTATAATTTTTATAATTGCAAAACTGGTTAAATTTATATTAAATTATATAATTTATTATAATAAATGGTAAACTTTATTAATTACTATGTAAAAATATGTCTAAACCTTTTACAGTTTTACCAGTTTCGTCAATTTCGCAGTTTCGCAAATTTTTAATTTTTTAATAAAATGTTTCAACTAGTTTCGATTTCAACAATTGTTTAAACTACTTAGTTTCGTCCAGCAACCTTAATCACATTTAAGGTTGCTTGCCAAAACCTCTCCAAAATCCTGCGATAAATTTCGGCAAGATTTTACTATATGTTTACTATAGTTTCGGCAGGGTTTCGGCAGTTTTGGCAAATGGGGGTTTCGGCATTTCGGCAAAGTTTCGGCAGGATTTTTAATATGATTTAATATAGTTTCGGCATTTTCCGTATAGGTTTCGGCAGTTATTAAGAAGGTTTCGGCAAGCAACCTTAATCACATTATAAAATCAAATTGATGCACCAATAAAAACTATGTGATTACGAAAGGTTTATTGACTAATAAAAGTAATATGTCATTTAAGAATTTTATGTAATAGTGATTATAGCTGATATAGAGGTAATTTAATAGTACCAAAATCCCGTTCTACAAAAATGAGTGCTTATAAAAAAGTATGATTACATAGGGTGTGATTATACAGAAGTCAGACTGTACTATTAGGATTCCACGATTAAAAGCATCCCTGCATCTGAGACGATAAGTTCATTCTCTGTAATATTTACCAGCACCCCATTCACCTTTTATATCCTCCTAAAATATGCTTTTTTCTTTATAGACCCCATTACATAATGGATAAGTGTTGAACTATTAAGACTAAAGCTATCAGCACATTCATTACTATCGACTAAAGATAGATAAGGAAAACGCTCTAGCACCAACTCAATGATATGTTTTTGTTTCTCTTTAGGATCTTCAGACAAGGAGTTGAGATTTGTTAGATTTATTTATCTGACTAGAAGAAGTTGTGGATGGTAGTACACTTACTTGTGATTTGACTGATGGAGTATCTTTGCTAACCGTACTCATATTTACATCAGGTAATTTTTCTCCAGAAGAATTCTCAGGTAATGCACTTACTTTGATTTCTTTTTCACGTGGTAAGGACTGGCACTTAATGTAGTAAGAACTCTTTATGCATCGGCCAACTATCTTTCCTTTATCATGCTTTTTCCCACATTCAGGACATAAGCCAGAATTTTTAAATTCATACCTATCATTATGTCTGTCACTATTAAACAAGGATAGGTAGAAATATTCTTTTAAAGTCACATTGATATAGGGAGTACGAGCATCATATAGATGACTGGCATGTTCTTTTTGGATTAAGAGATTTGTGATTTACTCGCCTTGGCAGGTAACTCTAATACTATATCTGGTAATTTTTTTGGGACAAACTCATGACTTTTCTCAAATGGAACTTTAGGTTTCACTTTTTCTACATTTTTGCATCCAGAATATGAGTTAGGCTTTTTTAGCTTCCTATCAGCATAGCTAGATCCACTGAAATAATCCAGAATAATTTGGATTTGAGGATTAGTAAACTTTGAAATAGAATCTGCGCTGTAAGATTTGATATTCTTAATTCTATCTACTCCTATCTTTTCGAACAGTTTGTAAATCTTTATGGCTCTTTGGATTCTTTTACGTAAAGTTTCCAATGTTATTCCAGAAAGATGCTTTATTATATCCTGGAATAATTGTTTTCTTGCTGTCTGGTCTGAAACATTATCTTTGGCAATAATTTCTTGAATGCCTTTTTTGAACTTTTTCCATATGAATGGTGACACAAAATCTCTTTTTAATTCGCTTATGTAGTGTTTTTCCCTTCAATACTTACTTCTAGAAATAGATGAGCAAGATCAACTTCTATTATCATGTCTCTTAATTTTCATCAATAATTTGGATATCATCTTCATCTATCAACTCCAAAGACACTTCTTGTATAAAATCTTGGGCTACTATATAATCATGGGAAACTTTTGTATCCTTGGGTAGTACTTGAGTTTCTCCTGCTCTGTAAACATTCAATTTGATTGATGATTGCAAACTACTTATATTGGTTTCAGTTTTTGCAGAATCTTCTAGGAGTATAGATGAATTATTCTGGGAAATTGAGAGCTCATCCTGATCTTGGCTTGAATGTGTTGATTCATGCAAAAGTTTTTTTTCTCTATCGTGTTGTTTCATCATATCACTAATCTCTTTCTTATTTACCGAAATCAGAAATTCATTGGTCTGTCTATCCTCTAATAATTTAGACCCTGCATGTGTGGGTTGAGTTACATTAGAGCTATTCTCAGAGTTACCCTCAATAGGCGGTGAAATGGATGATTGGGAAGTCACCTGTAATTCTGAACAAGTGGGAGATTTCACCATGGATATCCCGTCTTGCACTGAAACATTAATAGCAATTTGCTCCTGCTTGATTTTTCCGACATCACAATTTAGTTCTGCAATGAGCTCAGCCTTTTCTTTATCACTCTGCTTTGGTTTTACGAATTTGGCTTCATTCTCTTCCATAGTCTATCTTAATTTAGCATTTTCGGCTTTAACCTCAGCATTCTCAGCCTTAATCTCAGCATTCTCAGCCAGAAGCTTGACGACACGTTATTTTAATGAATCAAGTTCAGATTGCATGTTTTGATAGCAACTTTCATATAGAACATGATTTATTTAAAATGCATTTTACCCAAGTGGGACTTTAGGTCTCACTTTTTTTATTTAATATCCCATGAAAAATATACTTGATACAATATATAATAGCATTTTCAGCTTGAATTCTTTATTGATATAGAAAATAAATTTCATGATTCAGCTCGTAACTGTAATACATAAATTTACAGACCACAAGTCTTTCCGTTTGTCTAAACTACTTATACTAATATATTATCCCAACGTTAACTACATAATCCAGTTTCATTTATATCATAGTTCTGGAATCTGGATAAAATAAAATGTTATCAGTTATACTATGCAGTATATGTAGTGTTGAAAAATAAATTAACAATTAATCTTAGTAAAGCCCGCTAATAATTTATGTTGCTTGCATTTCGTGATGCTAGTAAAGTCCTCAGAAATCTGTATGAAAAATGTCATTAGTTTGCAAGCTCTGAAGTCATTTTCTTGTAAATGTACAACCACAACTAGAAAAAATATATTTTATTCATATCTTAATTGCATAATGTCTCTACCAGACTTCAATAATTTCTTCGTCGACATTTTTTTCAAACTGTGATCATTCATAACGTTAGATGATATAAAAAGCCGCATTAGGGAGTCAAATACAGTCAATCGTATGACTGAAAAAAATACGTAACAATATTGTCATTACATTGCACAGAGTTATTATGTTGCAAGCTTGCAATCATACAAAAAGCCACACTGATTAGTCAAATATGGTCAATCGTATGACCTAAAAATTACATAATATTAATTCACCTATTTTTTTATAAATCCCCTGAGAATTCGTCAGAGAATCAAAATTTAATGAGTAATGATAAAATCGTATTAATCATTTTTTTTTCTTATACTTTTTAAGGAGTATCTATATCATTTGCTGTATTACGTCACAACAAGTCACAAAAAGTTTATCAAGAGTTTATAGTCATGATGTATTCAGAAAAGTATATATATACCATATAGTATAAATATACCATATAGACACATCTCTTCTTACTCTTCTTACTCGTCTAATAAATATTTATAATGCGTCTCTTAAAACTCTCTTGAATATCTTTCTTACTGTCTAATTATTGTTTAACATGGAAATTGTTGATAATCACTATAATAAATTGCATACACTTGAATCTAGAAATTTATCCCTAAACAAATCTTTAACAATTAAGAAACAGATATTAAACGACATTGTCAAAGACTTTAACGAAAAAAAAGGAGCCTGGCTTAAACAAAAAGGAGAAGTCAAAGACGTTTCAAAGCATTTATTTCACATTATAGAGCAAAAGGACGAAGTTTTAAATGATACCTTTACATTAACTGAAGAAGTATTAAATTTACTAGGACGAAAAGAAATATTTCATTATAAAGATAAAGTCTCTGACTTTAACGTTGAAGTAGAACAAAGATTGGGGTCTGTTTGTTGGAATAAGATAATGTCTATTTTTAATAGAAAATTAAATACAGAACAGGTCATTAGGAAGGAAGATGAAAAATTTCTTACAGAACTAAAGAAGGTTTTAAACAGTGTTAATATGACAACGAATGAGTTCGAATTATTATTTAGAATAAAACGTAATAGCAACAATAAATTTCATCAGGATGAAATGAAAACTTTAGACTAAGAAATAAATAGCCTTGAAGTTTCTTTTCCCAACGATTTAAAAGATCTTAAGGCTTCTTTAAAGAAGCTTCTTGTTGCTCTAAAAATTTGGTATAAATAAATTCTTGTAAAGAAATGTGATCTGAAATTTGTATGTTATTTAGCAAATAATCATGTAATGCATGTAATATTTTATTATTGATGTTGTAGAAAAATAAAAAATATTAAAAAGTTTAAAGCAAAATTCTTTATTACTATATTAGATAACATGGTAAATGATGCATCAAAACCCAAAACCTCATATTTTCATGATCCAGAATCTAACAATGAAAATAATAATGAGTATGATAATAATAATATTTGGAAAATAGAGTATGATGTCAATGATATTTATAACATAAATCAAGAGAAAGAAAGTTCACCTAAAAATAATAGTGACAATAATGATGAGGAACATCATATGGCATTATGGCCTAAATTAAGGTTTACATATAAAACTCTTTGAAGATCCTACTATAAAAGGAAATTTTATGTTACATTATTATGATTTTTTTCCTTTTTAGTCAATTAACCAATAGAATTTAAGCAAATCCTAAGGTAAGGTTTCATATGAAAGTGAAATTTCTACCAGTAACATATCTTAGTAGTAGGCGGGGTCCTTTTAGAACATCTATAGAGGCAGGAAATTCAATTAATATCATAATGACATATTCTAAGAATCTGGCCAAACAATATAAACCAACTTACTTTATTATTACTTTGCAGAAAATACAAGTTTGATATTGTTGGTGCAAATAATAGTAAGTTAGATTGGTTTGATTGGTTTTGTTTGATTTTTATTTACTTGCATGAGGCAGATAAAAGAATTCATATTTTGCAACCAAATTTGCCTGCAATTTTATTTTTTAATTAAAGATATTTTTAAATATCTTGAAATATTTTATTATATAAACCAATATTTTTGTAATAAATCCTATAGTATTTTTTAAGTAAAAATTGAAAAAAAGGTCAATTTGATCAATGACTTTTTAAAAGTAAATAATTGATAAATTATATTAAATAGTAGCTAAATTTTTTAAATTGAAATATTTTTTCATCTATTAACCTTAGAATATAAAATTACTACCATTTGATATGTCTTAATAAAAAGAATCTGATAGAAATAAACCTGTTCTTCTACAAATATTATGTGATAGAATAACTATTAAAATCTAAGAATTTATAAATTAATATAACTTTTTATTTATTAATTTTAGAGTTATAATTTTATTATCATTAAATGCGTCTTAATAAAAGGAATCTAACAAATATAATTTCATCTTTCTATAATCACTAGATCTTAAGATATTTTAAAAATTCAAAAATTTTTAAAATCAATTTTAACTTCTACAGTTTAAGGAATAGTAAAAAAAAGTGTTAAAATTCTTTTTTTATAAATATTAACTAAAAGGTTTTACAAAAATTAATTTTTTATTATATTATTATTATTTTATAAAAATTGTATAATTTGTAATAATTTTTTTTTTTTTTTAATGATTTATATATATTTTATTGATATTAAGTTTATATATTATATAAACAAATTATCATGAGTTATATTAATGCAATTATCAAAATACAAATACAAATAAAAATAAAAGTAAAATAAAAATAATACTATATTTATTGATTTAAACTATACTGATTTTAATTTTTTTTTTTTTTACCTATTTTCTTCTCCTTTCAGAATTGATGAATTTAAATTTAGAATAATGTTAATTATATTATTGTTAGGTCTTTTATAATATTGTTAATAATATTTTTTGTTTTCTTATAAATCCAACTATATCACCAGTTGTTATTAATTAGTAAACATATCTGATCATAAACTTTTTTTTTCCATTTTATAGCATTTTGATAAAATGAGATTTATAAGAAAAATGGAAAGACATAACATATAACAAATTTTCTAATCCCAATTATCCTTAAATTCCATTTGCTAATGCAATTATATACAACTATACAGTATATACTATATGCTAGCATAATAAATAAATTTAATCATTTTCTTCATCATAAATGTTCCCATAAATTTCTTTTAAGATGAAATAAGAAATATCACTATCACTCCAATAATTAAGATGTACAAAAATAGCAGTGATATAACTAACATCTAATATACCTTCTTGTAAACAATAATCAATTCTACCTGTAGAATTTAAAGTTTTAATTTTATCAGCTCCGTTTAAATCTTCAAATGATGATGATGATTTATTAATTGGAGAGTTAACAATTATATTTCTACTTTGTGTATTAATTGTAGTTATTTGACTTTCATCTATTGATTTTCTTGAAACATCCATTGATCCGGATCTTGAATTTGTGGCGGATGATGAACTACTTGATGTTGTTGATTTTTTTCGTTTAGAAAAAACTGATGAAAACATACTTGTAATCCCTATTGTAACTCCTTTAAGACCACCTTTATGATACGGAATTAATGCTGGCTTTAAGGATGTTGTATATCTACGAGATACAAGAGGTTCTTTTTTGATTTTAAAAGAAAGAAAATTAGTGTCATAATAATAAAAGATATTAAGAAAACAAATTTAATTTAACATACCTATTCTATATGCAATTGGATCTGCTTTATGAAATAAATTATATAAATTTTTAACAGCGGGATAACAATAAGGAATTGATGTCGTAATTTTGGATTTTTTTTTATTAGCTCCACTTATTTTCTCCGCATCAACCAAATATTTTCTAGAACCAATCTTAAGTCCTTTAAGCATCAAAAACAAACCAATAGGTGATCCCGCAGCGAAAAAATTCCAAACAGGAAAATCCAACTTAATAATATCTTCATAAATTTCCTCTCCTCCGTCATTACTATTCTCCTGTTGAAATTTTTCATCAAATATTCCAAATACAGCATTTGATAAATTAAATAATGGTGGTTGATGGCACAAAACATCAAATGCTATTATCGATCCAAGAGAATGTCCGAACATAGATACTTTTCCTCCTATTTTTTCAAAATTTGGATTATGTTCTATAAACAAACGATATACTCTATTTATTTCTTCCGTTACCGTTCGTACAATTAATTGTCTATATTTTGGTGTCATATATAATAAAACTACACAAAGAAATTTTTTTTAAAAAAAAAAGTTAAAAAACACCAATATTATAGCGATATCAAGTCCACAATAAGAATTAATTTCTACCATCCATTAACACGTCAGAAATCAAAACTCTTAAACCTGGAACTCCATCTAATGTAATTTCGTCAAGTGTACACTCTCCTTCCAAATCTTGTATATCTTCATCTTCCGACGCCATTCCAAACTTTTTTTATAAAAAAAAAGTACTTTATTACTAATGGAATTTTAATTTTATAAGATAAAAGTATTAAATTACCTTGATTTCTTGTCTCCAATGAACAGGAAGTACCTGGACTCCGTTGCCAGATTGAGAATCTTTTTTCTTATCATAGTTTGGTGGAAGTCTGCTTTTACATTCTGGTGGTGGATTATTAGAATATACGTTCTTTAAGGTTTTTCTAAGGACATTCACATCTTCATGTTTTAAAAATTTTTTGGTATTTTAAATCAATAAATGCTTCATATAAAAAAATTGATTATTTAATAAGTCGAAATACCATGAACGAAATTCGTATATCCAGCTCGTTCGGTCAATTTCTGTCCAACACTAAATAAATACACCATATTGACACCATAAAAAAGTAAAATAAAACATAAAACTATCCAGTACTTACCCGTGAATAACTAGAATTAAATGATCAATTTCTCTAATCCCATCGCTTTCTTCATTATCATAATCTTCAGTTTCTTGTAATTGTCGTTTTCTTTCCAATGCTCTTTTTCTTGCTTCAGGTGTTTGATCTCTATCAAGGGAAGAAGAATATTCTTCTCTACGTTTGTCTTTACTTGTATCAACATTTGAAATAAGGTTCACTAATTCTTCATATCCTCTAATTAATCTTAATCCTCCTAAATTTTTCCCATTGGTAAATGTTGAAAAAATCGACTTTGATAACTTTCCTGCCATACCATCTCTATAAAAACAAAATTTTTTTCTTTTATCGAAAACCAAATTTATAATTAAATTTTATGATTCAAAAACTTACGTTATTAACCATGCAATCGTTGGCGTAGAATAAATAACATGTCGTGATTCTAATCTTCCGGTTAAATTCCATCTTTTCTCAGGACTTGGTATAATTTTAATATTTCCATCGGGCCCTGTAATTTCTACAGGTGGTTCCCATGCTTTATTTTCTCTATAGTAAACATAATTTGCATTTATTAGTTGGGGAAAAAAGAAAATTAATTTATATTACTCACATATATCCTTGTTCTATTTGTATAGCTAAAGTTTCATCACAGGGAATAATTTTATTTGATTCATTCTGATAAAACCACGTTGCACGTGCTACCGGATAAACAGGACCAGACCAGTAAAGCTATTATAAAAGTTTAATTTAATTTAACGAAATTTAACGAGTTTTTTTTTCGGTATTATTTAATTTGTTACATACTGGACTAATTTCTCGACTTTCGATATCAACTGCAAACAAAAAATCTTCATTCACTAGCACTTCCTTGTCGGTTTGGCCAGATTTAAATGCTTTTTCTAGTGCTTTAGAATCGCGTTTAGAAAATGGTATCCATTCAACTGGATCTTTATCATCACATTGTTCATTCGGCTTATTTGGATCAAATATTGGAATATCAACCGCGTGAAACCTACGGTATAAAAACTTTCTTTAGAATTTAAAGAATTAGATTAAGGATGAACTTAATGAAGTCACAATGATATCATTCATTACCATCGAACTGTTAATTTAGGATAATCCGGAGAGTCACAAATTAATTCCGGAACTTTTTCTAGAGCTTTTTCTGGTTCATTGTTCATTTTTAAAAAGATTTTTTTACATTAATATCAAAATAAAAACGAGAGTTGAATAGTTGAATCGAAGCAATCATTAATTTTACCTATAAATATATGGCTAATGTCACTCACCTTCTATAACTGGAAAAGTTTGTGTCACGTAATTAACCAAAAAAAGTATCGAAATTTGTAAATGACATAAAGGCTACGTAAAAAAGCAAAAAGTTTAGGTCACAAGCTGGTGTAACTTAGATTATCGGTGCATATTATCATATTATTTATATAATAAGATTTTTTTATTACTGACGGAACAATTGACCATTTATCGGTATATAGAATATCGGTACATCGAAGTTTGACTGTATATTCACTTTTGTGATAATAATTAAATTACAAATAAATTTGGCATTTACGCTGATAATAAACTATATAGTTATGCTTTATGATTAGAAAATGTTGATTAGGCTACATATAAACAAGGATTGGATGGATAAGCCACGTTCTCCTCCTTTACCACCAAAGCCTATTACATTGATGGGCGGTCTCGGAAAAAATACTAACTTTTCAAAAATAATTTATAAAATAAAATAAATTAAATTTAAGAACTTGTAATAGTAGCCATTGCACAAGCGAGGATTTGATTATGTAAAAATAACTTTTGTGGTGAACTACTATTTAAATTTCCAATAGTCAATACAATTTGATATGATGGAGGTAAAGCGGCGTTTAGTAGAAATGTGCCTGATGTAGTATACTCGGTTCCAGTAAAAATTGGACAACCAGTTGCATCACAAACAGGAAATATACTGGGAGTTTGTACTGGAACTGTAGCACCTATTGTAACAACAAGTGAGGCAAGTGGGCCGATAATTAGACCAGTCACCTCTTTTCCGGCAATAGTAAAAGTTGTGAGATGTGGAGACTTAAGTGGATCACAGAGAATGTATCTTCTACGTTAAGACATGGACCAAAGGAAGCCGCTCTTTTATAAAACGGAATGGCATTGATAATGGTAAGCGTAGCCAATAAAATGAATACAAAAATAAAATTTCGATCCATGATTACTTTTATTTTTATTTAGTTAGCAAGTAGAGTTTTTTTTTATGAATGAAATTATCTGGAGTGTCTTACTCAGATTCATTCCTTTTTATAGATTTTTGATATTAATCAATTTGTAACATCAAAGTTAATTATTGAGAGACTCAAATTTTTATGAATCAATTAGTAAATGGCGATGTGCATAAAAAGGAGGTTAGTTTAATTTTTTTTGGTAATGTGAATTGCGAAACGATTAATTAATGCGAGCAATTAAAAAATCTTAATATTGTAACTAAAATATGTAAATCGCGTTTTGAAATTGCTCGTATCTCAGGGATAATCGTACTGCAAATAGGTTTTGCCTGCTTAATAATAAATTTTGAGAAATTTTATGGGTCATCTCAAAATTGGCAAAAAATAAATTTCTTACATTCACGCTTCAAAAAGAGCGATCACATTTTATGCATGTAATTTGGCTTACGAGTAAATGTTTTATGTCAGAATAATAAATTTGAATATGTTAATCGGTTCGGTCCGATCTGAATTTAACAAATTGCCGATCCCAGAAATAACCCTAAAAACGGTCTGGGAACAAATATTATTACAGTAACAATTTTTTTAAAAAAATCATCTCAAAACTTGGGACCGGTCGGTCCTAGTCCATACATCCCTCTAGTAACTCATCTCGTGATTTAATTGCTAGGGAGATCATGATACGGCCACTCACTCATACGGTATCAAAATTTAAAAAATTTTTTAAATGTAAAATATTACAAGAATGATTAATTTATTTTTTTACTATTTTTTTTTTTTTTTTTTTTTTTTTTGTATTATATTAAAAATAGAAAATTTTTTGTATTAAACTAAATCTCACTTTATTGTTAAAAGATTTAATTTTATTTTTCACCATTCTTTCAAATAAAGATTAAATATAACTATCCAATCAGAAATCATCCAATTGTCTTTGATTTGAAAAATATGGAAAAATATTTAAATTATAGATATTTTGTCTAAAAAAATTACAATAGATTAATTATTAAATTATTTCACAAGTTAGTAATTATTGAATTTGATCCAAAATTATAATAGATCAAGAATAAAGAAAAGAAGTTAACCTTCAAATTAAATATAATGGTAATTATTATGATTATATGTTTTTTGTTGTAAATGCAATGGCTCTCGTTGAAGAATATGATTATAACAATTATTATTATTATTATCATAAGAAATTTTTTCATTATCATTTGTATCGCTATTTTCTGGGAAGTTATTGACAACATTACTTAAAGGAGAATGATCAATTTTCATTGTACGTACAATATCATTTAATTTAGCAGGGGATTGAATCATTTTAAGATATCGATCCCATGTATCAGTTTTACGATAAACTGGTAATGTTGTATCTTTATTAAATACAAGTTTTGGTGGAGTTAAAAGGTGTAATGACAAAAGATTATCGGTTTTACTTTCTTTACTTGTAACGGTAGGTAAATGTTTCTCATGAACATATGGCTAAATGATCAAAAAAAAAGTTATGAAAAAGAATAAGATGACAAAATCGAAATTATTTTTTTCTTTATATTACTTACCACAATTTTTGATTTCTTTTTTTTTATCCAAATATTCATAATTATGCTCATGATAATTAACACAGCTATCGTGATAATCAATAAGCCAATTAGCATTGACAGATTAAAACTATTAACTTTATCCATTTGATCCTTTGTATCTGGCGAAAGTTCTGAAGGTTGTGTACTTGACATCTTTTATTAATTATATTATTTTAAAATATTAAAAGTTTATATATGAATAAATTTATTAGAATTTTGTTAATAAATAATAAGCATTATAATAATTTCTTCCCATAATTTTTTTCAAGTAGCTACTCAAAAAAAAATTAACGAATAAACCGAAAGATATAATCTTTGGTTATTAAAGAGAATTCGTTTTTTTTTTTTTTTTTTTTANTTTTTTTTTTTTTTTTTTTTTTTTGAAGAAATTTGACGAACCAATTTTTTATGACGGAAAATATATCATTTTAAATGAAAAAATGATCGACAAAAGATAGTCGATAGTATATACAAGTTTCAGATTACATTAATATGATTTTTTGTTGATCTAATTTAATATTGATTTTCGAATCGGTTACTAAAAAAAACTTTTTATTAAAAAGAATCTCAATAATCATGCGGTAATATTATGAATTAACAAATTAGGAATGATTTCCTAATTAGTATAAGTTTACCGAGAAACATTTTTTTTTTTTTTTCGCGATTAACAAGATCAAAATTATTACTATGAAAAGTTCAGTTCACATGCCGAAACATTATCAGTAGATCAACTTATGAATATATGTTCGTTTTGAATAAGGGAGAAAATGAAAAGGAAAAAAAAGGAGAAAAAAATGATAACATACATATTTAGCTTTGGTATCAGGGGCCAATATCGAAGAAATAAATAAATGCAATGGAGACATCAGAAATTAAAGCGAAGGTTGAATAATTATTTAGGTTTCATTCCCCCAATATAGGCAATATAGGAAGAGTAGGACGATGTGGCATTAATTAATAAATGTAAAAAAAAATTAGAATGAAAATATTTTGTGTTATAATCTATGCAAGTTATATTTTGCGGGATTAAGCAATTTACAAAAAGAAAATAATGTAAAAAGAGAGAATAAGTAACTAAATAATGAAAATCATGAGTTGTGAGATGACATGCCACAATTGTCACATGACATTATTGTGAGCATTATTTAAATCATGTGATCTTAATGCTATCAAAATGTTATGATACTTTACTATAGGAATTTTACTTTAATTTTAGCAGGTTAAGTAATTGACAAAATGACAAATCAATGACATTTGTCATTATGAAATGTTTTGAAATTTGATCAAATGAAAATTGTCATTTTCACATCACTGCTCATAGATCATTGCAATTCTATGGTAATTTATCATATCACTAAAAAATATATTTAAGTGATCGATTATTTTACTGTAATTCTTTCGTGAATTTAATCCAATCTAAAAATTTTGTAAAAAAATGAGTTTTACGAACACTATTTACGCTTTCTCTATTTTTCGTCCCGTTTCTGCTTCGATGACCACTACAACTTGTTACATTCCAATGTGGCAATTAATTTGTATTATTGCAATTCCTTTTCTTGTTATTGGTGCAACATTGGTAAATATCGTAAAATGGACAGTTAATTTTACGTTAAGCAACGTTCTAATGATCCAATTTTTTTTATTCAGGGGGGGTATCATTATAGATGCCATCGGAATTGCCAATTACGAAATATGGGTTTTATCATTTAAATATTTTAACAAATCATCAAGATCAGCGTTATAAATTTACGGATTACATATCCCGAAATTAATTCCGACGCCAAGTATTAGGTATCACTTTAAACAAAAAACGAATTGGTTTAAATAATTATTTGTTATAATATCTTTTTAATAATAACTTGTAATTTATTATTATTGTTCATATGATTAAAACACTTACTATGTATCATTTTTGATAATATATATAATAACAATTCGCTAAATAATGTTTACAATTTACTGTGAGCTTGCTATTACAAGTCATTTCAGTTGAATATAACCATGACCATATTATCTGATCTTAACTAATATTAATTTCTCTACAATTTCCTACTTTAAATATGGAAATTTTTTTTTTTGATCACATACTTGTCTAAAATCTATTATTTATTATTCCGGAGCGGCGGAAGCGCTAAGTAACGTGATTATTCTACACGTGATTGTTACTGTTTGTTACTCCGGACAATGGTTTCCGGAAACGTTCCCTAGGAGTTTAAAAAAACTCAATGATGTTTGAACACGTCAACATTTCATTCTCATGACTTACCTTATTAAGCTTGAGATGTTTTAATTTTTAAGTCGACTCATGGTAGATCGAACTAGTTTTTAAAATTGATCAGTGTACAGTTAAACACGAGATTTCAGGTGAGTATGCAGATCGATAAATGCCTGCAATTTTGTTTCCCTCCCCCTTATAATCTCTTTTTCATGGTCTTATTTTAAAATAAGCTTTTTAATCCCTAAAGACTAATTTTTAACGATTTATAGCATTAAAGAATCCAAGTTTGGACTAATTTAAAATTTGACGGAACTTTATAATCAAGTTAAGAAATCAAAGGAATCAATCAGTATATGGACTTCTTTCATCGATTTCTGCATAACTGATGTTACACACACGTTGTACGATGTGCGCCAAATAGAAATATTGTGTAACGACGATCAAATATAAAAACTTTTTGCAAAAGTAAATTTTATTATTCAAATTATTCAAATAAAGTTGAGTATGGATAAAGATAATAAAGATAGTAAAGATAATAAAGATAATAAAGATAATAAAGATGATAAAGTTAAGAAAGATAAAGATTGGCTTGAAGCGCAAATAGAAGCAAATAGTATAAAATCTTTTAATCATGCCGAATTTTCAAACATAGTAAGGGTCGGTGAAGGAGGTTTTGGCAATGTATATAAAGCATATTGGAAAAGCCGTAGAATGACAGTTGCTTTAAAATCTTTAAAAGCGATACCCGATGAAACGACTCGTGAATTTGTTAGAGAGGTAAATTTTATTTTATTTTATTTTATTTTATTTATTTAATGATCCTTTAATTTTAATTTCTTTTAATAATTAGTTTAAATTTATTTATTTAGCTCAGACTACTTAGAAATGTATTCTATCATCCTCGTATTAATCAATTTCTAGGAATAACAAAAGGTCGTTTTCAGAGATTGTTTTTCAATAACAAATCATCTTGTTTTTTTAACTTTAAACTTTGTTATTAGATTCTAAATCTAATTATGTGATGGTATTACAATACGCTGACGGTGGAAATCTTCGAGATTATATAAGAAAATCGGTAAACCCGTTAACATGGCCTGAAAAATACCGTATTGCTCTTGAGATAGCCGAAGGATTATTATGCTTGCATGCGGAAGGCATACTTCATAGAGATTTAGTAAGTTCATTAATCATACTAGTTAAATATTGTATTTTTATATATTAAAAAAAAAAATTTGATTAATATTTTTTATTCTTTATATTAGCATCCTAAAAATGTTTTGGTTCATAAAGGCAATATGTTAATTGCAGATTTCGGTTTATCAAAGGAAGAATCCTCAACATCATCAAATTCTTCTGTAAAAGGAACACCTGCTTATATCGACCCTCAATGTCATATACAAGATAAATATAAACGAAGTAAAAAATCTGACATCTTTAGTTTTGGAATGATCTTATGGGAATTATCAAGCGAAAGGGAGCCATTTGCTGGTGAAAAGGATTTTCAAGTTGTATTGAAAATTTCTCAAGGGATTCGAGAAAAAATGGTAGAAGGAACGCCTGAATCGTATTTTAGGCTTTATACAGAATGTTGGAATCAAGAACCCGAAGAGCGTCCTAAAATTGAAGATGTTGTTGAAATTTTAGAAAGCATTATTAGTAATAGTACCGATGATTATTCATCAAATCCATCAAATCCATCAAATCTATCAAATAATTTATTAGTTCCACCTGTTCCAATAAATACTTCTACTTATACGTATAGTCTTAATACAGGCGAAATGAATTCTGAAATCAAAGAAGAAATTTATAAACATTCTCCTTTATATGTTAATAGTCATAATTCTTATAGTATTGGTACATCCGGTTCTTTATATATGGATGAGGATGTTTAACGTTAGTATTTCTTGAAAGATTTGAATCTTTTTTTAATATATATATATATATATATATATCTTTTGGATGAATTTTTACATGGTATTTTTTAGCTCATCACTTTTAAACCAATTTGATAAGTTTTAATAATAGGTGATACTTTAAATAAGAACAATTAATTTGTCTTTAATATTTATTTTCAAATTGTGAAAAATAAATTCTATTATAATAAATATATAGATTTTAAATATTTACAAAGATCACTGTTACAATATATATATATATATATATTTTTTCAGTGCATTCCTTAAAATATTTCATTTTTCGCTTTTATCAAAAAGAATATAGATTTATTTATTTTCATAGAGACATAACCGAATAAATTTAATATACCGTGTTGAGTTATTCTGTAATCACAGTATCTTCTAATATTGTAATATTTATGATCTGATATCAAATATATGAAATAGTAGCATGTCACCATTTTATCACGTGATTCAATTGTTATCACATGATTAATATCGAATTCAATACTATATATCAATCTTATATTGATAGATAACGAATCATGAATAATCTTTAAATATTAAATCCAAAATTTTATTTCCTTGAATATGTCTATAAATTAATTTATTGTTAGTCCAAATTGGACTGAACAAGTCTAACTTGAAGTAATGGTCCGATCCGATTCAACAAAGTCGATGGGTTGTATGACTTGACTATATCATTGTAGTCATTGATGATTATTGATGTCACCAAAATCAAAATATTATGGGACTAATTTGGGAATTAGGGCTCGAAACTTGAATTCAAGCCGCATTGAACTTTGTCGTCCGGTTCTTATTGATCTGATTGTTTTTAGTCTCAGTCGATCCAAGAACAATACTTATATGTCGTACAGTCATTAATTGCACATGTACTATTGTACTATGCATATTACACATATTACAGAAGGTTTTAAAACCAAAGCTTATCGCCTTATCAGTTGAGAATTGTTCGCTCAATTATAAAATATATCTCATCAGTTTCGTTGAAAAATATCTTCATCAACTTTTTATTTTAAAAAAAATAAAGCCAGTCTAAGAAATGTCTTGTGTGTTAATTATAGAAATGTCTAATTATTTAAAAAAAATCAAAGCAGAACTTAAATTGGTTAATATTTTAATATCTGAAACTTCTTTTAATAGGATGAAAATTGTATTATTTATACTACAACAAAGTTAATTCATTTCGTTCTTTTTATAAAGTACTATAATTAGGTAATAATGTAATATTATTAAAAGAAACGATTTTATGTTTAGATTCACGGTCACGTAATTGATCAATCCATACCTAATATAGGTTAAGCATTTAAGCATCATAATTATGTAATACGCGTCGATAAAAAAGATTTTATAAATGATAATGCGTGGCGCAGTAAACGTACACAATATTTAAATTTGACATCCTGTATTAGACAATACATTGGTACTTGGCGTATCTTCGGGTGGTACATTTTGTTTTTTAGTAAGCATTTTTTAGGGTTTACAAAAAGATCAACTCAAATGTGACACATGTTAAAAGCATCTCCTGAAACCTTTCCAATTTTAGAAAATTTCTATAAAGTCTATAAACCCTAAAAAGATCAATTTATTCTCTCAACTTTATCCCCAAATTTTTGGGTCAAAACTTTTCATTTTACGGTTTTTATCCAAATCGTTTCGTCGACATGTGAATGATGTGTGTTATCGTTTGTCTTGAGATATTAATTGTCATTTTTGATTCCGATATCTTATTTTAATTAGTCAAGTCAGTATAATGTTTAATTATAATTAAAAATTCGTTTATTTAATACTATTTTTGTTTAATCAAGACAAAAATAATCGTAACAATCGTGAAAAAGAAAAAAATAAATCTAAATTCGGTTAGTTGAAAAATATTAAGGAACCAAATTTCTCAAAGAAGATTAGAATACACAAGAACAAAGAAAATTTCAAGAGTACAAAGTATAAAGTACAGTATGAGAAATACAACATACTTGTATACTTTAATAACAATACTCTTTTAGCCACAATAATAGTTTTTTTTCACTGTGTTCATATGATAATTAATAGGGTGTGGCGACAAACTTATAAAAACAACAACTAATTTTAGGGGAAAAGTGCATCCGAAGCCGTATTTATAACTACTTAAAAAAGTTAAGAGCTGCACGTACTCGTGTGAAACCGTTTATACAAATAAAAATTAGAATTTTTTTGATGAAAAAAATTTTTTTCTTCTAAGAAAAAAAGGGGATTTACAAGAAAAAAATTCCCGTGATTTCTTTTATGATCAGATATCATTAGAAAATTCCATGTCGAATAATTAGAAATATTAAATGTCTGACAAAAAGAATATAAGTAATCTTAGTGATTCTACTAGAAATTCGATTCTTAAAAAGAAAAGTTCTTACGAGTTAAAACATGTTTCTAATATAAATAATGATACGGAATTATCTATTAATAATAATGATCATTATAAACTGAAAAAACCTTCTTATAATTCGGATCAATCAGATGGAAGTTCAAGAAGTTTACGTTCAATTATTAGTAATATTTTTCAAAAAAAATCACATAGTCATATACAATCTATGACTATGTCTCCTGTTAATGAGGATTATATTTCATACGACTCAAATGAACAATTCGCTTCTCATGTTGCTATAAGTCCTGACGGTCAATTTATATGTACTCTTAATTGTAGTAAGTGTTATACTATTTCTTCACTTTTTTTCTTTTTTATAAAGCTGCTTTATTTTGTGTCACGATACAAAAAAAAAAAAGAATGTTTATTTAAATTCTTATTTATTTTATTTATTTTATTATCATTAGAAAGACTTCAATTTAAAATTTTTGAATCAGATCAAACTATAAATTTTTTCGATAGAAGTTCTATTTCAGAGGAAGACGCAAATAACTTCGTGGAAATTCCAAAAATAAGTTCATCTGAAAATGATGATTTGGTCCCTTACCGAATTGAATACGGAGCATTACATGAATATATGCATAGTGAAGCATTTGATAAAAAATACGGTTCTGGAGTAATTATTCAAGAGGATGAAAAATCTAATAGAACTAGCACAGAAAGTAAAAGAAAGGAAGAGGATCACATACCAGGTGTTACATCTAGAAGTTTTCCATCATGGTCTTTAGCAATATCAAATAAGATGGAACATCAGGGTGAACATGTCATTTTTGTTGCAATATCTGCTGTAATTGAAGCAGACATGAAAAAAAAAGTAAATGAAGAAGATGAAGAAGAAATCAATCGTCTTTATCCAAATAGAAATAGATATAATGATGATGAATATGAAATAGAGTATAATGAAGAAGAAGAAGAAGAAGAAGAAGAAGATGTCGATGAAAATCCAAAGATTAAACCATCTCATCCCGATTTAACTGAAGGAAAAACTGCAATATATCGTATTAGATTAAGATATAATAGTTTAATTCAAAAGCCTGCTTGTATCAAACAATACAATTGTCATGATGTTGCTGGAATTGTAATGTTTGTTAAAAAAGAATCTAATAATCCTTACGCTCAATATTATGAACAACCTGAACATAAATATTTAACCGAAATGTTAATCAAAACAAGTTGCTTTATAATTAATGCTGAAGGAATTTACAAAGTTAATTATTCTATTCCTAATAATTCTAATAGTAAAATAAAAGAAGAAAAGTTTTCTTTTCCCAAAAGGTTAGAAAAAGAATTAAAATCTTGGTATAGATCAAAACATTGTATGGATCGTCTTTTATCATGTATTTATCATCATTATTTCTTTGTGGACCAATATAAAGATAGTGTTCATACGATAGATATGTACAATCTTTCAACGATGGAACAAGAACAAATTTTTATAATTCGTCATGATGAAACCGTGTCGCATACTTCAAAAAATGTATCATCTGTATTTGCAGTTTCACAAAATAAACAATTAATCGCTTGTAGTAATGGTGAAAGATCTGTAACTTTGTTTTGGATAGAAAATGGTCTTGATGTAGGGGTAAAAGAATTTGGGACTGAGACAAAAATTCTTTATTTGGAATTTATTGAGAATGATGAAAAATTACTTATAATTACTGAAGAGACTTGTACGAAGGAAGATCTTAGATCTGTGAATGGAGAGAAACACGATATATTTGATAATAAACAAAAGCCGATTGAAAATGATGTGAATTATGACAAGCTATCTACAATTATGGAAGAAGAAAAAAAGAATCCAGATGATAAAATAAAACAGGTTGAACAAGTTAAGTTAGTTATTGAGGAGAAAGAAGAAAAAGTAAAAAATGACAATCTTTTAAAGCCGAGAATGACAAGGAGAAGAAGTTCTTGTAAAGATATTGCTGAGTCTGTTGTGACGAAAATTATGGTATGGGACTTATTTAGTTCAGCGGATAATGCTATTCGTACTGGAATGACTGGTGATTTATTTCCTTCAAAAGAAAATTATCATTCTCATTTGGCACGAGTTCCTGGTGTACTTTATCATATGAAAGATGATGGTAATGTGTTTTCAATTTTAGAGCATGATGGTTTTGTAAATCTTGTAAAAGGAGAGGAAAGAGATTTAACGAGAGATTTCGGATGTGATATTTATTATGATTTCAAAACTACACAAGATCAAAAAGACAAAATGTCATGTGTATACGCTAATAATGAAGAAGTTGATGTAAAATTGCACAAAGTATATTGTCGTAAAGAATTTAAAACTTCCGGAATTTATAAGGTTATAGTTAACAATAAGGAACCATGGATTTATATGAATAATTATCATCGTACTTCAGTATTTCTTGATGAGGATGAAACGTTACAACTTATAATTGGACATAGTACAGTGCAAATTTGGCGGAAGTTACCAAAGCAGAAAGAATCTGATAAAAAAAGGGGCACTCTACAAAAGAAAGAACCTGTTCTTGAATATATTTGGGCTAATAATATTCCATTTGAACACGATATCGATAATTCAAGATTACAGATAAAAGATTTGTGGATTGGTGATAATTCATTTGTTCTTAAAGTATATTGGAAATATGATGAAGGTAGTAGAATTGTAAATAATATGGAAACTCTTTCATTTCCTTATACTGACGGCCATGTAACTCCGGTTCTACACGCTTGTAAAGCTCTTGAACATTTGAATAATCGAAAAAACAAAATAATAGATTATAAAAAAATGGTAGAATTTGAACGATTGGTAGAAAATACAAATAGAATTGTATGGAGATTTGTAAAGAAAAAGCCCGAAATCTTTAAGTTGATGGATGTTCGATACAATGTAATGTCCTATTTAATACGAGGCGGTTGTAATTATTTAATTAAATTTATTCTTTTTGGTGAAATGACGCTTGAAGAATTTAAAAATGGTAAAAAATCAAAGAAAAAGAAAAAAGAAAATGACATTAAACTAGATTTTCATAAAAATAAGCAAATATTACATATACCAAAAGCAAAGCAATGGATAAGTGAGACTGAACCAGAACGACTTACAAAAGTGAAATTGGAATCCAAAACTTTTCTTCATCAATTATTCTCTCTTATACGTGCAATAATGTTATGGTTTTTCGCACTCATATCATGTAAGAAGAAGAAGAAAAAAGAGAGGAAAATTAAAAAGAATCCCAAAAACAATGTGAGACCAAGCACGGATTTAGAATGGGCTATTGAATACTGTAAAGGTAAACGGTGTGCCAATTTTTCTATTTTGAAATTTATCCTAATTATTATTAAAAGTTTTTTCTTTTATAATAGACAAAGAAAGAAAGGATTCTGTTATGGTTGGTTATTTGTTAGAATATTATTCTGAAAATGCATTACATCACATTGGCTGGATGGCGACAATTTCAAAAGCACTGCCATTATTATATAGATACAATTTGGGTTGGTATTAATTATAATTAGTAATGATTATATTATTATTTTCAATAATTTTAAACTTTTTTTTCAAAAAATTTAGATTATTATGTAAAACCATTATTCTATAAAGATTGTTTTGCCGATAAAGAACTTACACAATATGATCCGTCTGAAATAATTCCTGAACACAGCAAACCAAGAAGAAATAAAACGCAAGATTTTAAGGCTTTTAAACCCAATACTAAACTAGTTTCAGATAAAAATCATAAGCCAGTACTCCAAAATATATTTGAATTTATAATCATTAAATTTCCAAGATATATTACGAACTTTATTGATAATTTTGATAACGATCGTGCTCCTCCTCCTGTGGCTTTAAGAGTTGTTCCGTGAGTTATAATTATAATTATAATTGTTTTTTTTTTTAAAAAAAAGTAAAGACTAATAACTATGTGTATTTTATATTTAGATTACCAGATTTTACGGTTGACAATATTCCAAAAATTCGGGCAAAGTATAATTGGAAATCAAATTTATTAAGACTTTTAAAAATAATTATTATTCCGAGAGGTTATATAATAGGTAGAGAAGATAGAAATTTATTAAGTCCCTTTGTACAAGTTGTTAGGTATGAAAAAGACAATAATATTTTTGATAATCCTGCGATGGAAGCAGTCATAGATTTTAGATGGAGGCAAGCAAGAAATTATTTTTTACAAATATTTCTCGCATTTATAGCATATGCGGTATGTTTTGGTGTAATAAGTTGGGCCTACATGTCAAGACTTGAAGTCACAGGAAATCTTAGGACTTTTTTAATTTGTGTGATGATGTGTTTTTATTATCTGGCTTATTATTTAATAGCTGTTGAAGTTAAGCAAGCATGGCATCATGGTTTAAGAGCATCTCTAAATGTTAGCAATTTATTTGATATAATTTCAATCATTACACCTTGCATAGTTATGTCAATTTTTGTGGCAAGTTCATTTCAACTTTCTGACGGATTTGCAAAGGTTCAAACTAGTACAGGAATTATTGTTTGCATTTCTTTTACGATGTTATTACTTTGGTGTGAAATGGTAAGTAAAAAAAAGTAACAAATTTATCTTGTTTATATATAGTTTAAAAAAAACAACTAAATAATTTATTTGTTTGTTATATTATAGCTTTTGTATTTAAGATTATTATCAGGTATATGACATTATTTTTTTATTTTAAATTTATTTTAAAATATGTTATAGTAAAAATTATTAACGATTTTTATTTATTTATTTTTTTTTTTAAAGAAATGGCTATATACATTTATTATGTCATTATAATATTCTCTACAGTGTGAGTCAAAGTACATTTAAAGTATTTATTTGTTTTTTTAAAGTTATTTTAATACTAAAAAGAATTCTTTTCTATTAAAGATTTCCCTTTCTTATATTTATGGCCTGTGTAATCATGGCTTTCGCTCATGCCTGTATGTTAAAGTTACACATAATGTTTTTTGTAATTAAGTATAAATATAAATATATTCTAACTTATTTTATTTATTTGTTTATTTTTAGTTTTCTTATTATTATCAAATCCAGACCTAGATACCATAAAACAAAAAACTAATGGTTTCTCCGTAGTGAATACTACAACACATGAACCAATAGATATGGAAATGGATTCGCAATTTGATCCTTCATCAGCTTCAGATAACCCGTTTTCAAATTTTTTATCATCAGTTGAAGCAACATATTTCTGGATTAATGGTGTATGGCCACAAAGAGATGACTGGAATTATTGGGCCATTGAAGTTTTATCATTATTGGGAAGCGTCTTTATAGTTACTATATTACAAAATATGTTAATTGCTTTTATGGGGTAAGTTACCTTTTTTATATTTTATATTGTCTTTAAAGTTGTTGTGATTGATGTTTTCTTGGATTAGTAATTATTTTTATTAAAAGTTGTGGACGGAAAAGGTAATGCTATATATAATTTTTTTTTGGAATTTTATAATTTACCGCCATGTCATTACCATATAATGCTAGGGTTACGCTCATCAGTCTTTCACTTAAGTATTATTTGATGAGGCCATGGCGATAAATTTTAAGATGAAACTTTGAGAGACATCATCAACAATAATTTTTTCTTTTTATACTTTAACAAATATTAAACTAAATTCTTTTTTATTTTAATTAAAAAAATAGTGGTGTATACGAAGAAGCGGCAGAAAAAGGTAGAGATGCATTATTAAGATATAGAGCAACTCTTATCTCTGATTATGAAGCATTAGAAGATATAAGATTTTGGCCGCCAGAGCCAGATCCACAATTTATATTTTACGTGGGACATTCAAAAAGTGTTGAAGAATGGACAGAAGATAGAAAACAATTTAAAGGTTGTATGTATCAAAAATATGAAAATAAGGCATCATATAAAAGATATAAATTTCAAGAGGATCCAAATGATAAATATTCTTTATTAAAATATGAAATGGATAAAAAAGATACTAATTCATCAATATCCTCCATCACAGGTGATGGTAATATTGTATCTGGTTCTTCTTTACCTTTAGATGAAACTTTTAAAGATTTTCAACGTACAGTTAATGATAAATTAGTTAACATGGACCAAAATATTAATCAAATAACTGATATACAAAATACTATAAATAGCATGCAAGAACTATTTACAGTGTTCATGAAAAAATTAGATAATATTGAAAGTAAGCAAAGCAAATAAGAATCATAAAAAAAAGACTATCTATCATACATAGATCTTATATAATATTGCATTTTTACTCATGAAATTAATATTATAATTCATCACGTTAATATTTAATGTAAATTCACAAATCATGTAAAAAAAAAAAAAAGAAAAATTATCTAAATCAAATACCAAAATTCCATGAAATAAATCCTTAATAATACGTACGAAAAGAAATACAGATAGTTCTGGCTAAAGTTTTGTTATTTTTAAACACTAGCTGACATTATCGTAATTCCGGCCCCGAAAATTTTTGACCTCCAATTGCAAAGAAATACAGCTGATCGCTGATCATTATAGCGCGTCACGAGTTGTCCCAAAAATAATTTGTTCGCCTTCAATATCTCTTAATTGACTATACATTTAGAATATCTAAAATTATAGAAATTCTGTTGCACGCTTAAAAATAAAATGAAAAAAGGCATAATTTTTTTATTATAAAAAATTAGTCGGATTGATAACTCGTTAACCACATACATAAATATTTCTTGTGCTTTCCATAAAATCGTATATAATTTAGAAATAAAATTGTAAAAATATAATAATTTGACTGAAATTTGTATAATACGTAAAGAAAAACATAGTGTATATTATATAACTAAAGAGACCTAAACCTCCAAAAGCAGGATTCGGTTCAAATAAGGACAGTGTGAAAGATATAATTTTTCTAAATGACGATTAGATCCTAAACTGTATTATCGATGTAATGACGAGCTGACTTTCTCCTACATGGGTCGCAAAAGAGAGATCTTGGCATATGATATTTCCTTCGATAAAGAATTTAAGCTCGTAGTTTATAATGGTATTTTGATTGATGGAAGTTTTCTTCTTGTGACTTTCTCAGTGAATTCAAGTACCTACAAATGAATGCCTACAAATCACAAATGAAGTATTTTTACGACTATAGTTTACTACCATGAATATTCTTAATGTAAATTTCACTATAGCTTCTTATTGATTATTGACTATAATAAAAAGTTTTATAACAGCAGTAATTGTTTAAAGAATGGAAGATCATAAAAATTTTGAGTTACATGGCCTCAAGCTTCTCGACAAGGATTGAAAACGCTAGCGTATTGACATTTATGTTGAAAGTTCGTGATAGTTATCAAAAGTTATGTTGCCACTGCTTATATTCGTCATATTTAATTTGAACTTGAGAACATTACAAAGAGAAGGAGATTTTATTTTATTTATTTATTTAAAATTTATATTTAGATAAAGTATCTTAATAAAGATTTTCATTTTTGAATCTTTATTAATAATTCATAAAATGATACAGAAATTATAACAATTATTAGAATTTGTCTTTCATAATCTAGTATGCATCATTGAGGTTTCTCCAAAAACAGTTAATAATTGAACTGAGCTGTTTCTATAAAAAAAAAGGAAATAGATTGCATTTACTGACATGATTAAACATTCCTAAAAAATCGCTGATATATAACAATAAAAATTCGTCTTCAATTTTGTTCAAAAGTTTAAGATTCGCGACTCACTATGCATTATATTATCGTAACTAGGTCTGCAATAAAAAAAATTGGCTTATCATTTAATTGCTATGTTCAGTAGAATCTTATACCTTTTCCTCCCTGCTGTATATTTGCATTAAAATGAGAGCTCAAACACATATATTGGCCGATTTTTGGAAGGTATAAATTATTCGATTATTGTAATCGTAATTGTGAATTAAATTATAAATATTCTGTGATAATTTATTCTGCACAAATTAATCGAATTATGATATTTAATTTGTCTGCAAAAGTACCAGAAAACTAAACTTTTAAGCATATGTTAACTACATAAATAATTTCATAATTGACAATGTTCGAAGACAAAAACTGATTAGCGGAATTCCAATAAATTTCCGATGAAGAACTTGAAAAGATAATAGAATTAGAAAAGCATCGCTCCCAATTCCTAATCAAAGAAATTTGTTGCACAGTATTTGACGTTGACGTGCCAATTAAATATGTTTACAATTTTTTTTTATTTTAGTAAAAAAGAAACATCTGTAAAATTTACATCTTTCTCTTACAAACATTAATATATTTTACTCTTTATGATGAGATCTCTGTATCCGCACCTTAGATAATACTACAGCAAATTTTGACTCAGCTCGCTAGCAAATCGAAAATAAAACACATGCATAAAATATTTTATTATAACACGTGTGTACTTTTTTTTCTTGAGCTGTCTCGCAAATATATGATTGGCAGTGGCGAGTTTATTTTATTTTCAGTTTCTGAAAACCATTGTTTGCGTGACCGAAGACTATAATGATCCTGTTGGGACATTATCCAAATCAATATAATTAACCGAAGAGTAAATACGCTTAACGCTTTATACTGTATGTTTCATACTTTTTTTGTGTAATTTAGTACATTCTTATGTAGTCTCCTTTGTAAACGACACTATTCCTTTAATTAAATCAAAACGATTGGTCAACAAAAATATATCTACTAGACTAATATCGTACTGTATTTACTCAAAGGGTGGTTACTGCCAATAAAGTTTAAACGGACGAGTGAATTGGGCAATTCATAGTGATGAGATTTTCTGCCAACTGTGTAACACAACCTGATTGTTTCCGTCGTACCATGTTTTCGGAGAAAAGACTATATTATGTCCTTACATGCAGTTGGTTCATTCCTTTTACTTCTTTCTTGACTTAATAGTTTATCGAAATGTATAGCAAAATTTCGTCTCTTATTCCAGGATTTTCACTACTGCCGCCGCAACCACTACGACCTACTTTACAAAAAATCGTTCTTCCACCACTTTTACAAAAATCACATACAACAACGCCATGTAAAATAACATTACTTCCATCCGAATTATTAATACAAATTTTTTCACATTTGTCACCTTACGAATTATTTTTACTTCGTGAGACATGCGTTAGATTCAATAAATTTCTTGATGCTCCAAAATCATCTACTACAAAAGAAATATGGAGAAATGCTAGAAAAGAATTTTTAAAAGATAAATCGAATCCACCTAAAGAAATGTCTGAAAGAGAATATACCAAACTATTATATTATAGAGGATTTTGCCAATTTTGTGGGCATAATAATATATTTAGGGTTGAAATTTATTGGCAATTTAAGGCTCGTTGTTGTCATGAATGTTTAATGAAAAATACAATAAGGTATTTATGATGTTATTGTGCATATATCGATATTTGAAATTTATTAATTAATTTTTTTTCTTGATTATTAATAAAAATTGTAGTCTTAACGAATTATTAAAAAATTGTGGAGATACTATACCAGAGGGTTTAATCGTAACGATTCCATACATCTATTACAATGATTCTTATTATTTTTGGAAAAATACTTTAAATTACATTTACATCCAATATCTCATCTATTTAAAAACTAATTCAATACTCTCACCACAATTTTATTCATTCTTATATTCACTTAAATTGAATTTTAAATCGATAATGGTTTATGTTAAAGGAAAAATGAGAAAGGAAGATTATGAACCATTGCATGAAATAAGAATAAGAGATGAGATAAGACGATTAAAAATTAAAAATTTGTTTTATATTATTAATTAACTAAAGTTGATTAATCTCTCTACCTTCATATGATATGAAAAAATATTACCATGTTACGTTGGGGTATCAAAAGTTCAAAACTTATGTAAAGTATCATATTATTAGAGATGATCATTATAATCCCTGTTAAAATTCACACGTCCATAACTTTAGATTCTTCTTATTGTTTTCATTCCAAATTCTGTGAGAACGCTCCAATTAGTTTTTTTTTCATATGATACCTCCCTTTTCAGAAAAAAATAAATAAATTCAAGCCTTTTTAGCTTTCTTAGATACTTCTCAATAAGAAAAAAAGAATGTTTTTCTTTAGTATTTCCAAAAAAGCGAGGTATCACGTTGTTCTTTTGGTTCTCGTGTATTTGTCTAATTGCACAAAGAATGGTTTATCGAATTTTTAAAATTTCGGAAATTTTAATGTCAAGTGTGCGCAGGTAAATTACTTTCCGAGATGTAATTTATGATATCCAGAAAATAAAGTTAAAAAATTCGAATGAATCTAAAATACCCGGTATTCAATTCATAACCGGCATAAATTAAACCATTCAAATCTCTAATAATATGATATTTTACACGTTTTGATTTAATTAGGTGATGGTACACCCCAATGTTTACGTAAAAATATTTCTTGTAATTGAAATACAATCTTTTGTTGTAATGAGCTTTGGCAAAGTTGCCAGTTTATAATAACAGATAATTTGTTATATTGTCTTCATTTATCAAAGAAAGTTACGTCATACCATACATATACTTTCAAAATTAAGCACTAATCAACATAAGAATCCTGGGCAGAATTATGAAAATTTTTGGCCTAATTATGTTTGTCCTGGAGTGCCTAATTTCAGAATTATACGATAAATTCCGTTATGTAATTATAACCTCATTTATAACATAAAATGACACAAATCACTCTGTGATTTTAAGTATTTAGTTTACCTCAAAAATTTTTAAGAGAACGTTAGTCTAATTATAGTTTCCGATCAACATAATTATCTGAAAATGAAAAGACGAAATTTTCTAATCGCGTGTCTCACAAAAATCACATGAATGAATCCCAACGAACGGTCCAGAATTAACCAATTTCGACGCAACTTTGAATGCGTTGGCAAGGGTTAGTTCGAATAAAAAATGATGTGCTTGGAACTTATTGTATTAATGTTGGAACTCTTTGAATTTTACTTACAGTTCGCGAAAAAAGTAATCGGAATTACAAAAGGAGCAAAAATAAAAAACCAATGATTAAAATTTCTTCAAATTTTGCAATTTAGTTGTTAAATGTGTAAACATTGTGTATATTAAGTCTCAGTCTTTTGTCTTACTTAGTTGTCTCCCAACCAATTTTTTAATTTGAAAAAAAAATCGTTTAAAAATTTAAGAAATGAAAATTTCATAAAGATTTTAATATTGTGCTCAGAAATTAACAATATGCCTGTATATCCATAATAAAAATTATAAACATAAAAGCATATCCATAATTAATTTATTAAAAAAATTTGTTGCTATTTTAATCAGTTAGTTTTCAGTCAATTAAAATTAAAATTGGCTCAAAAATCTTAAAATTTAGATAAATTTAACCACATTAAAATATTTGGATTAATAATTTTTATTTGTATATTTTGAAAATTATTAATCTAAACATTAAATATATTTATAATAACTTTTATATTTATTTTATTTTATGTTTAATTTTGAATTTTAGTTCTTTTAATGAAAATTAAGGGTAAAGGTCAGATTACGATCATCATGATGAATCAATTTTCTCAACAACTAATGAATAATAAAGTGTCAAATTTTTTTTAATGAAATTAACATGGCATAAACTCAAATCACAATTATTCAAGTTTTAATAACTAAAAAATATATAAATTTCATAAAGTATTCAAAATTGCAGTTTATCAAATTAAAAAATCGATTGAGAGATAACCAAGCAAGATAGAAGGTTGAAATTTAGTATACATAAGGTTTATACTGTATATTTGACAACAAATTTGCAAAATTTGAAGAAATTCTAATCACTAGTTTTTTATTCTTTACACTTTTTGTAATTCTGATTAAATTCCGATTATTTTTTTTCGCGAACTTTACGTATTTTGTTTTATTTGATCGAACACGAATATTTTTTTAATCCTAGGTGCGTATATTATTAAAGGATACTGTGATGATGTAACATTAAAAGTTATTGCCGATTTGAGAGAAGAAAAGAATTTGACGCGAATAATTACTGTATTCCTTTTTGTATAATTAAATTTATAATAATTTGTAAAAACATTGTGTGGTATTTTAAGTCACGAGCGTGATATATAATGAGCAAACAAGTAAAATAACTCGATAAAAATGGCTTGGGTATGATACAAAGTGAATTCGTGTAATATTATTATGATGTCCATAAAAAGATTTTTTTCTTCTGTCCTTATGTTTCAGATAATGAAGGATAATAATGTTGTGTAACATTGCAGATTACGGATAAATTACTTACCGATTTCTAAACTATTTTAGTACAAATAAATACGAATAATGAATTGTTAGATTTGGCAATTCCCACTGCCGTTTATCTGTAATCTGAATTGCATATTTCTCGATTTTTTCTTTTTTTGTATAAAACTACTTTTAATTATTCGGGATGCCTAGAACTATTGGTCACCTCTTTGTTAATATTAAATTGGTTAGTTTAAATTTCGGTTATTTTGATAATGGTACCACAAAAAAAGCATTATATGAAAGGTCCGATTTACAACGCATCATTCAATAACAATAAAAATTCATTATCAGTATTTTTTAAGAAAATATATCAAATATACCAAATAGAACACTGATACTGTTGATCTTTCTTGCGACATTTAATATTTATTTCATTTCCAATTTATTGGGCAATCAATATAAATTTTACGGAGCTAATTCCGTATCTTTGTTTATTTTATTAATTATTTACTTCATTTATCTATGTAACGATTAATTTATTGCCATAGTGCACATCAATCAACAAAATTTCTTTTATAAAGGCACTGATTTCTAATTTACAAAAAAATAAAAAAAAAATCAAAACATATAATTAAGAATTTTTTTCATTCTTATCTTCATTCGACAAAAATTAAATTTAACTCTACAAATTATTGATTATATCAATCACTCCACTTTCAAAGTCATCATGAAGTTTATCTTAATGTTTATTATCGTCATTGTAGCTTTCAGCGCTTTTGCTTCAGCTAATGAGCCGCGTATTACTCCCGTTGAAAAAAGTTCATCTTTGGTAGCAAGAGCTGGTACTTGCCCATCTGGAACTTATGCATGTGCAGATAAAGAAGGGGGATGTTGCTCAGATGGTACATCTTGTTTACCTAACTTCCAATGCAGCGGTAGTGGAAAATCTAGTGGGGCGACTTCTACTACTAGTAGTGGGGTAGCTTCATCAACAATCTCACTAATTCTCTCAATTGCAGCTTATTTTTATTTAGTTTAACTAATAATATTTATGCTGTAGTTTTTTTCTTTTGAAATTTTTTAATTATTACTAGTTCTGTAAATTTCAAATATAATATTTTATCCCATTTTGTATATTTAAATGTTATAATCAATTACTTAACAATAAATTTTGATAATCATTATACGTCGACTATATAATATTAGTTACTGTCTCAGTTAAAAACAAATTCATTTTCTTATCATAATGACATTTGCAGTTTCGCTACCACTCATTTTTTTTTTACAAGTTAAACATAAATTTGTATCTCATACATTCTAACAACTTAATATCAGTTTACACTTGTGAGAGAAAAAATTGTTCACACCCGTTAAGCAGTTTATAGTAACATTAAAAAAAGATTATGATTGATTATATAACGAGAACCGATCTGTACAAAAGGGAAAAGTACACTTCCTCTCCTTTCGGATTATCCAGTTGTAATTCTAGCACTAAAGTGTATGCGTATAATAAATAGTTATCCAATGTATTGTTTCTGAAACTTTGTCCAATTTGTACGAGCTTTCCGTAATCCATATATATATATATATATACATAAGGCTGAAAATACAAATAAAAATTTTCTTTAGAGAGATTAGCTTAATGTTGCAGATCTGTTGTTATTTCTAATTTAGGAAATTTGGTTAGGACATTTTAAGTAATATAATAACTCTGCCTAAACTATTTTGTGAAAATTGATGTTTTTTTTTCTCATTTGGAAACAATAATTGTTTCGTATAAAATATTCTATTTTTAAAAGCATTCGATTATCATAGATCTCGGAATTTTTAAATCCGTAATCCGCCGAGATTATACAAACATTATAAGTGCTAAAATAGAGCATATAAACTAAAGAAAAAATAGCTATGCAGTTATTAAATATCAAATAACACCGCGAAAAAGTGATTTATATTAAAGCTAATTAGCTAACTTCAATTATAACGCGTCATTTGTCGCTCATATCGAAAAAAATTTTAGTAAAGATTATGAAAGGCTACTTTTTATACCCACAGATATTCGGATATCCGGATACATAATTCTGGATATCCGGATAATCCGACGGATATCCGGATGGGCGGATACAAACTCAAAAGTTATTCTCTTTAATAAATTTACAGGTCAAAATTTTATGATCGAACGAAATTTTTCTTGATTTGTGGTATCAAAGATAACCTTATTTTTTTTTTTATGTAATTTGAATGATTTGAATGAGTATTTTGTCTTCCCATTATTTCAATTTTCAAATATTGCGTCAACAATAAATAAATTAACACATACACGTAATGAATTACAATATAGTGGTAAAAATTATACTGAGAAAGCTGAAGTATTGAAGGAATCTAATTTGTTTAATGAAGACGAATTAGAAGATGATGATTATACAATTTAGAAAGTGAAATTGTTGAAGCTGAAGTATATGTACTAATTATGGCAAACAATATTGTTTTATCCTTTACAGAAACTTCAAGATCGTAGCGATGGCTTAATGCGCAGTAACTGCGTTATAAATACATAGTGACCACATTATGTAATCGTAAAGAAATTACATAGATGCAGTTACTGCGCATTAAGCCATCGCTACGATCTTGAAGTTTCTGTAAAGTCAGAACAAGTATTTAATGTTGAATCAGATGAAACAGAAGATAGTAAAACCAATGAAAAATTAAATATAAATAACAGTGAAGATGAAAATGAATTTGATATAAATGAAATTATAGATAATACATCTTTTAAATTTTAATTAGTTTAATTTATAAATACTATAGTTATTAATAATTAAATATATATAATAATAATATTATATTAAATTATTAATAAAGAAATTTTATTGGTTCATTTAATTATAAATTAGTAATTATCTAATATAGTTTATTAAACTAATTTTGAATTAATTTTATCAGTTTTTACCAGTTTGTATTAATTTTACCAGAAAATTTCAGAAATAGTTTTACCAAGTTTCAGGCAGCATCTTTAAGTCAGCATGTAAAGGGGTGTATTTCATTGTGCTTTTTTCACAACAGGTACTAAATGAAAGCTTTCATTTATCTAACGATTAATTTTAATTACTAACCTGTACAATTCAAATATCTATAAATACGTTCACTAATTATCGAGAAAATAAATTCTTAATCTTCTTTCTATAAAATTACCAAAGTTTGAACCTACAAAAATTATTGATTATAATCTCTCAAACGTTTTTCAAAGTCACCATGAAGTTTTTCTTAATGTTTGTTCTCGTTATTTTAGCTTTCAGCAATTTTGCTGTAGCAGAAAACTCGGTAAGGCAATTTGTTTGCCCACCCAGAACATATGAATATTTGGATGATGAATGGGGATACTGCCCAATCGACTCGGCTTTTTTGTACCTAACTTCAAGTGCGGCGGTAGCGGCGCTTGAAGCTCTAATAATGAGGATAATATTAGAAACACGTCTCACAAGTACTCTCAATTATTTGTATTTAGTTTAATATTATATTGAGTTAGTTTTTAGAATCTATTGTCTCTTTTTATTGTTTGTTATTAAATTATTATTAAATTATGTATCTATTTTAGCATATTTAATAAGATTATTTCCCATTCAATGTCAATCAATAAAATATAATTGTGAGAAAATATATTTGCATCTTTCTTAGTTATTACCACTAATGTTTGTGAAATTAATCTTTTACCTTTCGAGAACTTTTTCGCCTACATGTATACTCAAAGATTGTTGAAAAGAGAAATGCATAGCTTTCGAACTATTAAGAATTGGATCTCAAAAGATCATGTAGATCTTTGATTTTTTTTATAACAAAAATGCTTGACATGTATGTACTGCTATTTTATGATTAGCTAAAATAGTAATCTGATAATCGAAACTTAAGACAATTTCTAAATATGAATGCAAAATATTGGCAGAAGTTATAGTGTTACATTATGAGTAATCTGTCAAGGATAAATAAAGCACGGACGATAAAAGTACAAGGAGCCAAACACTCAGAGTAACTAAATTTTAATAAATGGTACGCAACGTTCAATGAGATAAGTCCGATAAGATAACAAGTGAGTATCGCAGTTCGGAGTTCGAACGAACATTTTTAATTTGTAAGAATGTAATGATTTTTATTTATCGTTTGCCGTAGTATCAATTCATTTACTTGTGATGAAATGGACATTACATGCAAGGTTTTGCTTAATTTCTAAAGGTTGTTATACAAAGAAATTACACGATGAAGAGGAGAATCATGAACTTAAAGAGGATTATATCATTTTACTTATACGATAAGAGATGAGCATGTTAAGAAGAAATTCTATCGAGTAGTTAGGCAATTTGTTTATACCATGATTTCATTATTACGGACTTACAATACTTATTTTACTACCACGAAATTATTCGATATTGTATCTTGCGGAAATGAGCTGATTTACAATATAATTCATTGATTAACTGGTTAACTATTTTCGATATATGCCGAAATTAAATCCTATGAAAATGTATTAAATATCGCGAAATGACTATCGGACTTTTAAATTTTTGATCTTTTCCTATTAAAGTAAATTGTAAGATTGATAAGAATCTTTAGAACTAACATACCCTATAAAAAAATTTTTTTAGAAAATTGATCATACTGTACGCCGGAGTTTCGGAGTTTTTTTTGGAATAAACTAGAAAAATGATCATTTATCGGAGTTTTTCCCAAAAAATTACAGCATTTGTTTTATAACGTTATATGTATTGTCGTGTAACATGTCAGATGCAGTTAAGTTTTAATTTATGATTTATAAAATTTTTTTTTAGATAATATTTTAAAATTGAAATCTTCAAAGTAATAAAGAATTTTTTACGTTATGGTAACTTAAGTCCTTTACGTGTTTATTTGTTTTTATTATCTTGACCAAAGCTGTCTCTTATTTCATTTTGTATTTCTCAATTATTAAACCTTATTATTGAAAACTGCTACACTATTGAACGGATCACGAATTTAAAAAGTTTGACATTTATGATAATCAAATGTCACGAAATAAATGAATCAATAAATCGATAAATGAATAACCTAGTAGGAAAAAAAAAATCATCAGTATTACAAAAAAGTGTCACATAATCAAAAAGGAAAGAAGCAGGGATAAAATGCATGGATTAAACACAAATTTGTCCATGATCCATTACAAATTCTAAAATAGTTGCAAACTTGCATGATGATACTAACTGAAGGAAATATAAGCAGAATATCACAAATAAACTGGCTTATATATGTAAAAGCTAACAAGTTGACTTCTATTATAACACATCATTTTCGTCATTCATATATGAACGAGAAAAGGTTAGAAAAGACAAGCAACAATCGATAAGATAAAAGATAACTTTTGTATCTCCTATTTTGATCTGCAATCAAGATATAGTCATCAATTCAATATTTTATGTAATTTAAAGTAAAATTGTCTTTTAAATAATACAATAATATTCAAGATGGAATTTCGGAATTTTATAGTATTTTTTTTTTCATTGAAAGATTTTAAAAAGCTTTCAATATCAATACATTCACTAATTACGCTCACAAGAATAAACGTTCTAAAAATGTGAATTCTTAATAATCCGAGGTTACACCATTAATCACGTAATTTTTAAATAACAGTAAACTGGTCAACTACTATGAACCTATCTTTTAAATTATAGAATATAAATAATATTTTCAAGGTCATATTACAATAATATAGGTATATTAAATATAAACCAACTTCATCATGATAATCTTAATCTGATACTTTACATTATATTAAATATTATTGCTTTGTTCTTTTTTCCATTATTTATTCGTATGACAAAACGATCATGGGAAAATTACATATTACACCATGGTAATTGTATCTATTTTTATGTTCATACAAAAAAATCCACCTTTCTATAAATTAATATTTAATCATGATATCATCATTTAGAATTTAATTGTGGGGCCAATTGCTTTTATAAATAGAGAAGGTAAGGTTCGAATTTTACCCAAAATATATATATTGCTTTGTAGGCTTCGTTAAAATGGAAGCTGTGAAATCATATGTGATCCATATGATTTCTATACTCAATACAAGTTTGCATTACATAGACTAGTACTAAATATGATGATATTTAAAAAGACTAATTACCTATTATTAGATTAATTATATTTATTATTGCAATTCGGGCGAACGGTGTGATAATTGTCGTTTTTTGTACTTCAGTTCTTTGTACATGTAATGTTTATCTTCGCCGTATCTCCGAAATTATGAAAGATACTTTGAAAATTTTCTTTTTTTGAGAATTTGTTTATGTTGTGGTTTTAACATGTAATTAACTCGTAAACTAAATTATTACACAAGTTTTTACGCCTGATTTATAATATTCTTTATATCTACATTTTTATCTAACTTCTGCGCATTGCCGATCATATCATGAAACTCATGAAACTCCGAAACGCCTTTTTATCAAAAATAGCATGATTGAACGATTATATAATTTAGAAACTAAGCAGCGGTCAAAAGTTTAATTATTAAATTAGTTTAATTAAAAACAAAAAAAAATTTCCTTTATGTACCAGTATTGGTTCTGTCTCTTATACACATCTAGATGTGTATAAGAGACAGGTATTGGTTTAATTGGTTTAATTGTAAATTTGATAAGTCGGGAATAAAAAAAAAATGGCTTACTAAGATTATAAAGTTTATTTTTTAAATTTTTTCTCTATAAAGTAAAAACTGGTGAACATCTTAAAATTTTTATGGTAATGTAAATCGAAATTTTAAAAAATTAATAAATGCAGTCTATGCATGAATTATAATGTTAAAATTGTTCGAGAAATGATATATAATTTACGATTTTTACATGAATTTTTTTTATAAATTTCACTCGCCCTTAAAAATATTTTGTGATGTATCTGTTGAATTTTTAATAAAAAACGGAATTTTAATCAGTTATTCTTAGTTCCGGCCAGAATTGAAATTCAAATCCGGCCGGAATTAATACCGTTAGGCACTCAAAGCCAATTCGATATCCATTATATTAATTTATTTTATATATATATACGAGAACTTCTTATGCAGAAAAAGATACTTGTGAGAGAAGAAATCCTTAAGCATGCGAAAGTTATTTTATTGTTTGTTTACTGGAATTAGGAAATCTGCCATTTTATTATTTGGATTAAAAAAGACAAACAAATAAGCGATCTCTATTATCTGCCGATCAATTTAACAGTGAGTCGGTTAAAACTTTGCCCAAGCCGAGAGTAGAAGTAAAAAATATATATATATATATATTTTTATAACTAAACAAATAAAGTTAATATAATTATTAACAAAGAAATATGTATTCAGTTTATCCACATAGTATATACAATATTATATTACTATAAAGATATCATAAAAATAAAAGTAATGATATTTATAAAAATTTTTCCTTAGTTCCATAATAATGAATCATAAGCCTAAATTTATATTACAAACAAACATCGCGTGATTCAAATAACAAGCAAGGGAAGTGGCTTGGTTTGAACTAAAAGAAAAAAGAAAAAAAAAGAGAAGATTTAAATAATATAGAGTGTTGCTAATTATAGTTATGCTAATGGATAAGTAATTAATATGTAGAAATATATATAATTAATGAATGAAATAAATAAATGTACATTAATAGTGATATAAAAAATATAATTTAAGGGAACGATGAAGAAGAACCTAGGCATCCGGCAGGTAGAATTAGAGAATCAAGGCTATTATTATTATTACAAAAGTTCCCCGCACCGTTAAAAAAATCATCATCGAGAGGATTATCAGTAATTTGAGGTGTAGCTAATCGAGCGATTTGATCAATGGTACTAAGATTGTTTGTAAATCGGATATTATTTGCATTATTTGCAAGATTTATAAATCGGTTTCTTTGAGTAGATGTTAGCCGCCTTCTCCAAACATAAGTTGTTGCCAAATTAATTATATGTTTACTAAATAATCTATTATATAATCGTAGTCGATGAGTTTGAAGTAATTGTAATCGATGAGTCGTATAATTTTGCAATCGGTAAGTTCTATATAATTGTAGCCTATGAGCTTCGCGTTTTATATTCTGTTTGATTAATCCTTTGCCAGTCAGTCTTTTATCTCTTATAGTAGTCGCAAGTGTCTGTGCATTATTATTATAAGGTAGTTGGTATATATTTCTATAATCAATGAGGTTTAAAAATATATTTAATTTCGATTGAACAGACATACTTGTATGCTTAAACTAGAAATTTTTTCAAAAAAAAAACAAGTGAACCAAATTTTGTGAATATGAATTATGAGGATATCTTTATATATCTTTTTATTAACCTGTGGAAAAATCGGTAAACTGTGGATCTAATACACGTGGATATCACTAAGAATTAATAAGTAAATTTTATATTAATTTTTATTTATAAATAGAATTTAAAGATTTAAAAATGGAATAGTTTTTTTTTAATTTTACCAAATTTTACCGAAAAGTTCATTTTTACATTACTGTTTTTAATTATTTGTAATAATATTTAATGTTTACTAATCGCCATTGCACCGATGAAAGGTAAATAGCAATGTAACAAAGAATAAGATTCTAACACGTTTTGATTTATTCGGGTGTGATTTCGGCAATTCGGAGGAACTCCTTAAATTATTCTAAAAATTTATATTTCACTATCAAGAAAGTTTACACCGTGAAACGTTGTTATTGTTTCTTTTTTTGAAACTCATTATGTAGAATTAGTGTGCGTAACCAGTGGGTTCTTAATATAATTTTAACTGTAAAAAAATTTGTTTGTTGCAGTACTACTGCGCTTTAAACTTGTTTAGCCACGCGACACTGAATGTAAATAATACGATCTGCATATCGAAAATTCTAAATTTTCTAAAATTAACACTTATATGTATATATATATATAGCTTTATCTATATTACATCATTTATATAGTTTTTAGGGGTAGTGACGTAGTTAATATAACCGTTTTCAATAAAAAAATCAATTTTAAATTAATTTATATAATATAATTTTTAAAAGCGATTGGGTTAAAGGCAAAGATGATGAGAATCAACTTTGAGATGCGTAAGAAAAATGCACATGATACTTAAAACTTCGGTGGAAGAACTCCACCAGCTTCTTAATGGAAATCTGACTGTAAGCGAACAATCAGTAATTGAACATTACCTTGGCTATTTTATTTTTAGAAAAAATTTCTTTTATTATTTTATTTATAGAAGATATTTCTTATGTTTTAAGAAATATTTTACTTTTAGAAAAATATCTACTATATATAATTGGAGTTACCATAGATAGATATCATTTATAAAAAAGAACGGAATTTTGGAAGTGCTATTGTAGCACAAGGATCTATATGCAAGCAGGGTAGCACATCTTTTATCCTAGTTTTAATTCCTCATATCTTATCTTTTCACGAACACAATATTATAAATTTTTAAATATACACTCTATAGGCCGAGATAATGGCGGAGTAATAACATTAATTGCCTTCATTTTTAATAATCCCATTAAACAAGCGGGGAAATCAAAGATTTTATATTGTATAACTTTTTTTATTCTCTGATATCACAATTGGTCTATTGGGCATAAGTGATGCCGACTTAGCTGATTGGTTATAATTTTTTTCTTTTTTTTAACAACATTTTTGAAATAGTTTTTTTTTAACTTGTTAAATCATTAGATCTGAGTAATGTATTTTTATAAATGTAATGAATCTAATGTAACATGTAACTGTAAAAATTCAATGGCAAAATCTGAATATAAAATCTAAATCTACTCATTTGATATATAGATTGTCATAAGTTATCGGCGATAAATATATTGTTATATGAATAAAAGTGACACGCAACACATAATTTTTTTGTCAAGAGTATATAACGTAAATAATATAAATGTGTCCCCAATACCTTAGTTTCGGCTTGCTCTTAGCCAAGTAGATTTCTCTTAGCGGATAATTTTAACTTTTTTTTCGAATTGGGATACCGGGAAATAAAAAAGATTGGATCAGTTTTTTTATATTAACGAACATTACTAACGTTTGTTTTCTTCTTTTTTTAGGCGTCTCTCTGGAGTCTGCCTTCTCTCTGTCTTCTTTTCTCTTCTCTTTTCTTTAGGTATTCTTTTGTTTTTCAATTAAATAATCTTAAACATTGTTGAATAATTTTTTGATAAATAACTCATCAGATGAAACTTCTCTTTTCTTAAGGTCTCTTCGATTCCCTCATTTTACATCTTCTTTTAGGTATGTAGGTTGGGAGTGTGGGGTGGGTGGTGACCTCGCTCTTCTCCCATTTTCCCTCTTTCCCTTTCCTTTGTTCCCTCGCTCTTTTCCCTTTCCCTTATTCTCTCGCTCTTTTCCCTTTCCCTTCTCTCTCTCTTTCTCACTTTTAGATGGTGTTGAATGAAGCGCTGAATTCGCATTACGCGTCACAGACCGTAATTTTTTATATAACGCAGTTTTCCATATTGGTAAACCAAATGGATGGGTAATGTTGATAGCCTAATCGTAAATATGAATTAAAAGGTCTAATTTTAACTTTAATTAAACATAAGTCGTTTAAACTTTATTATAGCTTTTAACAATTGTAGCAACTAGCTGAAACTAAAATAATAAATGTTCAACAATTTTTAACATTTGGTTTAAATTAAGTCGGCATCACTAATTGAACACTCAAAAATCTTATACTTTAATTACTAAATATATTATACTTTATTTGAAATACTTCAAATCCTCCACTATAAACCTGTATCAGGATGGATAGTTTCGTTGTTGTACGCCCGATTGAAAAATTAGAGTATTTTCCTACATGTGAACCGTAATTATAATTAAATTTCTCATAACTATACCTAATTTTGCAGTAAAAATGTTTTTCCATCTGTAGAATTAAGCAGAAATCCAACTTGTTAATGTTGATTTTTGCGACCTAGATAGTAGCTCCTTATTGCCACGATTTCTATGAAAAGTACTATTAGGATCAAATCCTTCCTACTTGAGAGATATAATAGTTTAAAATCACGAGGGGTATTTTTTATCATGGCGTGCGTGAAAGAGTCTTTCCTGTCAAGCTATAAAGTAAAGAGGAAGATGATTTAATTTAATTAAGAGTGGATATTCTCAATATTTTGCTCCTAAATTTCAATTTTATCCAATCACCCCTTTCTTAACAATAATTCAAATAAATGAACTCACAAATTAGTAAATTTATCAACATTAAATAAATTATTTTGTACTTTACAAATAGTTTCAAGACAAAAATTCCATAAATCCATAAATAGCTCGTGTTCAGTTATTAAGCAGTTTCAAGAGTACCAGTTATTTTGGCGTAAATATCTAAACATTCTTGAATATAGGAATCAATGAATAAATATTAAGTTTATCTGCTGTTATCAACAATTTCGATACACCAGAGCCTTGTAAATAAATTCTTCAATTCAATGTTTCCTTAATAAATGAATTTAAATTTATTTTATTATTGGTTTTTTTTTATTAAAACGAAATTTTATTATTTTATGAATATTGTATACAAATACCTAAGAATAATATTAAATAATTATGGTAAAACATTTGTTTTCTGAAATAAATTCAGCTCATTCATTAGAAAATGCGGAGCGAAAATGTTGAGACCTAATGCACAAATCTTTGAATGAGCAGAATTTCTTTAGCATCCGGTCCTTCCGTCCTTCTCAGGCTTAAATAATCATCATATCCTATTTTTGTTTTCAAAAGTTTTTCATAACCATTAGTAAATTTTGAAGACATATTTTATAGTAAAGAGGAGAAGGAGAGGGTGAGAACCAAAAGAGAGAGAGAGAAATGTAATGAAAATAAGGTTCGAGTCGGGGCAGTCTTAATATATATGGTTTTGTGATGATCGGAAAATGATATTTCTAAAGTAGGAAACAATAAATTATTGAATTTCGTTTTATCGCTATCCAAATTTGGCAATGTAAGAAAAATACTATTCAACTAGGGTTAATAAATTCTTCATGAGCTAAATTTCTGGATTTTTTTTTTATCTTTCATAAAATTTTGAGCTCTAAATATTTTCACACTTTTTTTGTACGAAATTTTGGTTTTTTCATAATAAAATTTAACATTTGGTTAAAATAGGTTAAGTTAAAATGTTATTTAATTTTCTTATATAATTATGATAATAAATTTCTAATCATTTATTTTGGTAATAAATGAAAAATCTCGTATTTCTAGAAATTTCAATGTTGTACGGTTGATCTAACTTACAAGTATCAACCAGTTGAGAAGGAAACAATATATATATCAAATTGTAAATATACGGTGCACACAGTCTAAGGTCAGGTAATTTTAAAGGAACTGAAAATGAATATAAAAAAAAATTTTTTACTGCTATAAAAAAATATAAGCCTGCTATTTGATAGAATATTACTTTGTGATTATAATAGCAGAGTTTTTCCAATTGGATAATTCAATCATAATATCTATTAGATCGTCTAATTATATATGTATCCTAAATTAAAATTGAAGAATTTGGCCATTACAAATTAAGCCGGAATTAAGTTTCAATGATAATTCCAGCCAGACTTCCAATATAAGAAAGACTTCCAATATAAGAATAGTGTACATCAATAAAAAGATGATTGCTGTGCTGGTAGAACTCTCTTCAACCCGATTTTGCTGCACAAAAACCCTTAATTCAAAGAAATTATTAAAAATCGAGGACATAAGGTTATTTTTTATCCAAAGTTCCATCATGAATTAAATTTATTGAGCAATTTTAGGGTGCGGCAAAAAAATATACTTGAATAATTGTGATTTTACTTTTAAAGGATTGGAAAAAACATTTTTTTGATATTTTAAATTCAATATATTAATACATATTTGAAAATATATTATACAGAGTTGGAGATTTGAAACTGATCTTGTTCTATGATACTTCTGTTCACCATAGTGAGCCCTGATAGTATGTTGACGCTCAGTAGATTTATTTGTTCTAGTCAAAAAATTTCGTAGAGATAAAAAGACTTCAATTAATTCTTAAAAGAAAATATCTAATAATTGTGTGTAATAATGGAATATACTTAATAATTATTTAATTGAAAGGATCATTAAGTAGGTGGCTGTAACTCCTAACCCGTCTTTCCGTGTAGTCAAGAGCAATTTTCTATATAATAATGGACATATATTCAAGGATGATAATTTTTAAATATAATTAAAGGATGAAATGCTTAAAAAAATCTTGGTAATGGAATTTTATCATAGCTAAATTAGCTAATGCTTACTGATAAAGAATATAGTGAAAAATAAAATTTCAAAATAATAAATATAAAAAAAGGGATAATAAAGAAAATTTTCAAAAAACAAGGTTTAATATATGAATTAAAAAAAAAAATGATATCAGATATAAAAAAATATGATTAAATATTAATTTATCCATTAAAATAGAGATTGATCGACCATTTACCCATTCTTGCCGTGAATGTATATAATATACTATAAGAAAAAGATTCGTAGTGTTCCGAATAATAATGAAGTCATCCTTTTTTTGTAATACTCAAAGAAAAAAAGAGATTTTTAAATGAATTATAAATGATTATGCGAGGTAGAAAAATATTCCGTTGTCTTAAATCGCAAAATATATTAACGGACAAGGAATATGATCTTAGGTTGATTCATATATTAATACGATATACCGGTAACCGTATATTTTATAGTTATCAGTGTTTACCTAGTTACATGAACATGTAAATTTACACTATAACACAGTAATTAATTTCAGACTATTTCAGACTTCAAAAAACAACCAATAATACTTAGGAACGTGACAACGTACTATGTTTTATAAAAAATTTTTTGAAAATTGATCACATATCGGAGTTTTTTTGGAATGAGAACTAAAAAAATGATCATTTATCGGAATTTTTCCCAGAAAATTTATAATAGGGATGTATTTTAAATAACACGGTTTAAAGTTATTATTAAACAAGTATATTATTTATTGTATGTGACTAATTGCTTATAAATCTAAAATCACTTCGTTGTTATCATTAAAACTATAAAGTGTTCTTTAGGAAAAGATTTGCTCTCATTTTCATCATATTCAAATATCATTTCATATAAGTTCACTAACAACTACCATCTTCATATTTAGTTACATGTTTCCATATATTGACATTGTAATTCATTTACTGCCGAAATTTAATAAGAAATAACTTTTAATTGAAAGATACAACTCCTCGACAACTAAGCAAAGTAAATATTGAATTCGAATAAGATAAATACAAGTTATGATATAATTATATTACTAATCATTTATCAAGATTTCGCTGAATCAAGAATAATCGTTCGGACTTTCGGAATCATTTGACGATTTTCGAATCGATCCTTAAAAGGATTCAGCTTGCTAAATAAAGTTAAAGGTGATCAGCCTACTAACTAATTAACGTTACTCATTGAATATATAGATCACAAACAATGTATTGAATGTATAATGTATGTAATTATAACACTTAATAACAATTATAACTTCTTTAAAAGGTAAAAGCGAGCAAAAACACACAAGTCGTCAATCTAAACAATGAAATAAAATCCATAAAAAATTTCTTGGATAAAATTCCGATAGATGATCATTTTTCTAGTTTTCATTCAAAAAACTCCGATATGTGATCAATTTTCTAAAAAAAATTTTATAGGGAATATGAGGTTGCTAATAATATTCTAAAGATCTTACTTCATTATAACTATGATAATAAAACACTCTAAACTATTTGTTATCTTGCGTTACCGTTAAAGACTCTAGATTTTGACTTATTATTATTTGTATGAATCTTTAATCAATCTTATTTTTAGTCTCATCATATAAATAAGGAGTAAAAAAAACCAAAACTCTCTCTTGAAAAAAGAAGAAAACAAATAAAAAAATTATATAACGTTTAAAATAAAAGATGCCATACATCGAGGTTAAAACCAATGTTCAGGTAAACAAGTTTATGAAAATATGATCCTTCATCCTTATAAATTCATATACTCTCTTCCTATTTCTTTTTTTTTTACTCCCTTTCTCGTTACTCTATTTTTCTATTTCGCTTACCTTTTCCTCACTTATTTCAATATCAACAGGTGCAAGACCACAAACAATTCATTAGAGAATTAAGTTCCTACTCGGCCAACGTTTTCAACAAACCATATGTATGTGTTTCTCTTCAAGACAACCTCTCGATCATCTTTAATGATTCCGATGACCCGGCTTACATTATTGGAGTTACATCTATCGGCATAGATGCTGCGACCAAAAAAAAATTGAGTAAGGAATTAAGTGAATTTTTGGAAAAAGAATTGAAAGCCAGTAGTGATCGTGGGTATATTTTCTTTTATGGTCCTGATGGAGCTAATGTAGGATGGAAGGGCAGTGTTTGTGGATAGTTGAGAGATGTTATTAAAAAAAATTTAGTTCTTTAAAAAATTTAGTTCTCTTGAAAAAATTTGTTTCTTTTTATTTTTCTTTTTTTTTTAAAAAAAAAATTCGTTTATTTTCTCTTCATATAAATGTCTGCTTCAAATAATTTTGGAGGATTCACGTGAGAATTACTAATAGTAAAACTAAATGAAATCTTTTTTATGTTACGTTTTTATCAATCATATTTAAAGATATGAAATTATATCCTAGTATATTATCATTTTTTTTGCAAATAAGTTTTATCATATCTATTTTTATACTATTATTGAGTTAATCTAAAAATGAATTGAAAATGATACGTGAAACTTATTATTGGACGACGACATCGACATTTCAGTAACCTTATCAATAACATTATCAAAAGCAATCATCTATACCACACAAATTTGCCCAGCCTTCCGTGTTAAAATAATTCATGTCATATAATATATGTAATTTGTGTTATAAAACATTGCACGAAGGACTATATGTCCGGATGCTAACTATCGGATTTTATTTATTATTTCTAAATAAAATTCTTTATTGAAAATTAACTCAGATATTGAATTGTAACAGTACAAGCATAATAAAATGTATATTTCATACGAATATATTAACTCAAAATGTGAGAGTATATATATTCTGAAAATTTATTTTAAAAAATCAAATCCTTTATTATTAATAATAACCGTACTTTTGATAAAATTTATTATTTTGAAATATGACTAATAACTTAGTATTGAAATTCCGAAATTATTATAATACATTGTATAAATAAGATCCGATATCAAGAATTTTAGTAATAATGATTAATAATAAAATCAGCAAAATCAGTGGCTTGTGTTATGAACTTATTATCGGTTGTTAAAAGTTATAAAAGTTAAATAAATTGCGGGTAATTGGAAAATTCCACATAAGATGACTCATGATTAAATTGAAACTACGCGTAAAATATTAAAAGTAAATAGGTTGTGGCTTTTAATTATATATCTGATATTACTTAATCATAACTACGAAAAGCTTGTGCGACAAAAAAAAAATATTTATACAGTCCTTTTTCTTTTTTTATTACACATTAATAAAATTTTCTCATACCTATATATTTTTCTCACATAAAAAGGAGAAAACGAAAGAGAAGAAAACGCAAAAATATATCACCCACACACAAACCCACACAAACCCATACTCTATTTAAAGGAAGAGAAGACCTAATAAAGAGAAGAGAGAAGATAGAGCTAATGAAAAACGACGAGAAAAAAGAAGATAAAACATCGCCCGCACACAAACCAACACTCCCAACCCATCCCTTCTCGTCCCTTTTCCCTCTCGTTCTTCCCTTTCCTCTCGTTCTCCCTTCCCCTCTCGTTCTCCCTTTCCCTCATAAAAGAAATAAATTATTTTTTTCATGCAAATAAATTTTTCATTTTCTCTCATTCCTATATTTTTTCTCACGCAAATAATTATTTTTTCAATATTTTTATCATGCAAATATTAAATATTTGGGTACACCATCTAAACTTTTGGAGTGGCTTCCTTGTCTTCCCCACGTTTTTCTTCTTCAAGAGTTGAAATTTTTGGCTCATTATTATAATCATACTTCGATATTTAAGGAATTTTTAGAAGTATGAAAAGAATAAAAAGGTGAGAAACGTTAGACTTGACATCCCAACTTTGTTATTGGTAAAGTCAGCTAATTCTAGAGAAGGAATTAGCTATGTCTTCTTTACCATTAAATAAAAATTTGCACATTATTAATAATTTCTTCTTTCTCATGATAGGTAAATGCAGCGATTTACAATCACTGACTCCACGCTTTCGTTCCTGTACCATTAGGAAGTCTTCTCTTAGGCCTCTTTTCTTTCTTTGGTATCGGGACATTTCGCCGAAAGCCATTTCGCCGAAAAATAATCTCTGGCCTGAGTTATTTATAATTCTGCATAATGCTTTTCTTTACGTCTTCTTTAGGTATGTGGGTTGGGGGTGGGTTTGCGTGGGTAATTATCATATGCCTTGCCTGTAGTTCTCATGATTTCACCGAAACGCCCATCACACTATTCAGTATTGTGCTTTTCCGATTCCGTTAAAGTTTTACACCTTTTTTTCTGTCATTGCTCGTTTCCTGGAAGAAAACATGTTCCTTTTGCTCAAAGTCTTGAATCAATTGTGGAACATGAGAAAGGAAAACGAAAAGCAAAAGCAGAGTTTCTTCTTCAGAGATTTAATCTTTGAATATCGCAGCATCATTCTTTTATACAGTGTTCGTTAATTTCTGTGAAAATAACGTATGTAAAGGCACATCAATTGGATTTACAAAGTCAAAATAGATATTTTGTAAATTTCGTTATATTCATTCGATATTTACCGCTTACCATTTTTCACACCCAACCCGTTAAAAATTATTTGGGTTATTGTTGTTACTAGCAAATAAATTATGAAATAAAATTTGTTTTTCCAATTATAAAAAAAAATAATTTAATATTTCCAGAAAATATTCTAACTTATGATGCCGGAGTGATGCAGATCATATGTATTCCCAAAGCACAATAACAATATTAACAATATCGTGTGTTGTTTTGTAGGAAATTAATCCTGCGGTAGGTAAGAATTATGGTTTCAAATATTTGATGTTAAAAGCGATTAAGACGAAAAAAAACTCGGAAAATATCTGGCATTCACACTCACGTGATATTATTATGCGAGAACTTTGGTTTAGCTACGATATAAATTTTAAATAATGTTGGTGCTAAATTTGTACAAAAATTTAACTCTGACATAAAAATAGAGTTCGAAATTTTATGAAAATAGTGTTAGTCTAAAAATAATTGATTTTTTTTTGTGATACAAGTCACTGTATTCCTAAGTTAGCTAGTAACAATAAACTGTGATAGACAATTATAACAATGACATTTCGCTTTTGGAAAAGGGAGTAAATAATTTTTCGTTTGCTTGTTTTGATATCCCGTAATTTTAAAATTTCCAGATTTCAGTATAAATAGGGCACTGGTTTGTTCAGAACTATTCATAATCTTAATTCATAATTTAATTATATTATATATTTAATTATATTATATATTTTTATTTCTTAATCAAATAATATTTAAAAAAAAACGGTTATTAAAATAATATTTAGTAATCAGTTTTTTCTTCCCAAATGGGCAAGTTTTTTTTAATTCTTAGCGGGTTGGGTGTGAAATAGGAAAATGGAGTGCTAAAAATGTAAATAATCATGCGGTAGCAACAAAAGAAATTAATTTTGTTAGATTTGTTTTAGGAGGATTAATTATTCCTATAAGACGAATATCGATAAATGAATCCTTTAAACCCTTTTTCATATTCTCACTACAGATGGAAATGAAAGTTAATTAGAACCGCAATGTTCTAAAAATTCGCCAGAATGATCTTGTAATTATTAATTATTTGACGTTCCATCTTCTCATTCCCAATCAGATAATTTCTTAATTAAAGATTTGTCGTGGAATTACAAGTAAGCATATATATTAGGCCACCCCAACAACAGTAGTTCGCTAAATCACGTGATATTATTTATATTTATTATGCGTGGACTTCGATTTGTACGTACGATAATATGTTCATAATTTTAACTGTTTCTTATTATAATAAAAGTGTTGAATTCTATTGCAAAAAAAAAAAATCCCGAATTTGTGCAAAAATTTTAACTAAATAAAAAAATTTTTTTTTTGTCACTATATTCCAAGTTACTAAGTTAGCTATAACCATAATGCGGTAGATTTTTATCAAGGGAGTAAAGGGAGTAAAATAAATCTTTCATCTGTTGTGGCATCCCATAACAAATAATATTAAATATAAATACTAGGTCATTAGTTTGTTCAAAGACAATTTAATTCATACGGTATATTTCTATTTCTTTTTTTTATATGTATAAATATATATTAAAAAAGGTTACTAAATAATTTAATAGTCAGTTTTTTCTTCCCAAGAGGATCCTTCCAATGGGCAAGTTTTTTTAATTCTTAGCAGATTTGAATGTGAAAAATGAGGAATGAAGGTTATAACCGAAATTGGCTTTAGAAAAATTTTATATCATGTCTTTATATATATATTTTAATAAATTATCGAAATTTTTTAAGAGCGCAATTTATAAAATGATAACAAAAAAAATTTTAAAAATATTTAGAGCTCAAATTATTTATGAAAAGCAAAAAAAAAAAAATTACTTTTTATTATTTATCACGTTGAATGCTTTATTCTACATGAATTGTTCACTTAAAAATTGATTGGCTTAGATTTGTGATACAATCAGTCAATCGATCGTTCAAGTCACTGTATTCCCAAGTTAGCTAGTAACAATAACTATAAGAATAACAATGACATGTTCGCTTTTGGCAAAGGGAGTAAAATAATCTTTCGTTTGTTTGATATCCCATAATTTAAGAATTTCTAGATTACAGTATATATAGGGCATTGGTTTGTTCAGAGATATTCATTATCTTAATTCATATTTTATTTATTTTTTAACCAAATATATAATATATATATATTAAAAAAAAAACGGTTATTAATATAATGTTTAATAATCAGTTTTTTTCTTCCCAACCGAGTTCATCTCAAATGGGCAAGTTTTTTTAATTTTTAGCGGGATGGGTGTGAAATAGGAGAATGGAATAACATGTTTTTAAAAAGATTTATATCTTAATTTAAAATTTTAAAAACTACATAAATTTACCAATAAAATTTTTTTTAAAAGCCAATCGTATAGCAGTAAGTTACTATATAATAAAATCGAAATAATCGTGTGGTGATGGCGCCGTGGCGCTGAAAGAATTTATATATTTTCTTCAGATTTGTTTTATTCCTATTAAATCTTTTGTATTTCGCTTAATTCCTTATAAATCCTTTTCATATTCTCACTACAGATGGAAATGAAAAGTTAATGTAAAACATTTTACTTGTAACAATCATCAAAATAATTTTATAATAATGATGTCAATTATTTGACGTTCTATGTTCTCAGACCCAATCAAGAAATTTCTTAATTCTTGTTTAAATTTAATTCCACCCAAATTTATAATTCCGGACAAAAAGGAACGTAGTTATAAGTGAATTCAATAAATTAAACAGATAATTTGCTGAACAATTTCCATCTTTACCCAAAGTCAACCCATTAATGAAGTCGCAACTAGCCGTCTACAAAACTTCAACTAGCTGATCCTAATAAGTTTAAGTATTGTAGATTTGTTATTTGTTAAGGCTTGGCAAGGATCGTAGTTAACAATCACACGCGTTAATCTGAAGTATGTCATTTTGGACGAATGTTACATTGAACATTTCGCCGGATCGGGACCAGGATTATTACGAGAAAAATTAATAACTAGGGAACGGAAGCCGTTGAAGTCCGGAGCATGTAATTTATTTATTCACCACGAAACTGATATATAATGGGTACTTCAGTTTATTGTGTAACTTAATCAATCATCTATCAACTCATGATACGAGCGAATTTTGTGTCACCATGTCTAGAACCTTCGCTTCATCCAGAATTCTTAGAATTCTTATGAACAAAATGTATGAAGGGAACAAGAAATGATACGGAAAGCGGAAAGTAATGGTTTTTTGATTATTGAAAATTTCCTTATTCAGATTTGATCAAGGTATTCATTCAGTTGATTTAAAACCTAAATCTAATAAATAAGAATGCTGTCATCATAAATAGACGTAAAGGCAATAGAAAATATAGATATGAATAATACTACAGTGTTCAATCATGATAATATATATACTAGTCAATGTAGTCATCACTGAGAATTGTTTAATTCATAGTTTGAAAATTTTTTTTTCAGTCAATATCCTTTTATTTCAATAACAAATTAGGCACATATTTCTATCGTATTTCTATTATAAAACTAAAGTCTATTTTATTTTACATATTATCACAAAATTGAAGGTCACTTGAAGTTGATGCTCATGAATTTTTGTTTAAACTTTTCTATTGACATGGTTTCAATCTAAATAATAACCAAAAAAATTAATAAAAATATAATAATAATAATAATAAAGTGCAAAAAAAAAAAATTCTTTATATTTACCCCTTTCATTTCATTTTCAATATATTGTTCATCAATTTCATCAGTATCATCAATTACAACAAAATGATGATACTTATCATAATTAGTTTTTGATAAACATTCCATCGAATCAAAAGTAAGTTTACGTGAATCCATATTGTAATCATCCAATGGCTATATAAAAGAAAAAAGATTAATTATAACAAATTTAAAAATGATTTACTTTAATAGACAAATGCCAAAAAACAAAACTATTTCTTTACAAGCACAATATAAAACTATTAACCAACCAGATATTTACCATCTCATTTGGTAGTAAATATTTAATATTACCAGAAATAAGTCCATCCTCAATACTTTTAAATGCTTTGTTTAATCTAAAAAAGAAAAAAGAAAAATTCACATATATATATTTTTTAAGAAAAATTAAGAGATTATCATTATCTTTAAATAATTTCACATACCTTACTCTCAAGAACTCGTTATCAGATAAAAAGGTTAGTAATCTTTGTAGATAACTCAATATATTAGGATGTATCTTGAAATCCCATCCATTAACCTAGATTATAATTGTAATTTAATATAATATGTTCTATTATAATAATATCCAATACCTAAACAAAAAAAAATTTACCAAATTTGTGAAATATAAAATGCTATCAATAATATTATCAGTATTTTTGATAGCTGTTGAAGTTACTAGAATGACACCACCTATAACAACAAATTATTAATAACAATAACAATAAAATTAATATCATAATATTATTTGTATATCACTTTACCAGATACAAATATTTCTTGAAGTGTTATGGTAGCATCTTTTTTTAAGATCAAGAAAAATTTTGTTTGATTATTTTTGTAAATAAGAAAGTTTTCAAAAGAAAATCCCTGTGTAATTACATTTTGATGAAACTACAAAAAAAATGAGAATTAATTTCTTTTTTTTTTAAAAAAAAAATTGATTTTTAAAAATAAGGAGTTAACTTACTAAAATACAATTTATACGAGGATCCTTGATTAATACTTCATTACTACCAATCTTCATCAAATGATTAATTACATTTTGACTTTCAATATATTTTGATCCAATCACGGCAAAGTTTGAAGTTTCAAAAAAATCTTTTAATTCGCTATTAAAATTAACTGACAAATCTGAAGATTTATCTTCGATGACAGTTTGAGAAGAATGAGAAAGTAATGGTACAACGTTTTGCTGATTTTCTTCAGAATTTCTGTGCTTTTCAGATTGTAAATCCAGATTACCAGAAATTTTCCCATTTGGATTGAAATTTGACTGAACTGAAAATGATTCTTTTGACAACTTATTGTTTTGTTGCATTTTGTCAAAATGTAATAACTCGGTGTGAATGAAATTTTTATGTTTTTTAGCTGATGGAAGTTGTAATTCCAAATTATTAGAAATTTCTTTTTTTGTACTATTGAAATTTGGCCAAATTTGAGGTGAAGTTTTCGAAGGCACATTATTCTGTTGCATTTTGTCATATTGCTGTGCTGAATTTTTACGCTTTGTAAGTGAAGATGGTTCATCTAAATTATTAGAAATTTCCTTATTTGGTGTTTGTGGTGAGCATGGCAATGATTGTATACTTGGTAATATATTGTTCTGTTGCGATTTTTCAAGATCTTGTGTTTTAACAGCTTTAACAACGGAATTTTTATGCTTTTTCGCTGGACCTAAATTTGGATCACTATTTGAATAAACATTAGGACGTGATGATAATGTCGAAGAAAATGGTGATTTTACTATTTCATTCTTCGAGAACTGAAGTACAAAGTAAAGATCTTGCACATTCTTTGGTTTTTCTACATAAAGAACATCACTAAATTCTTTTGTAGTCGGTAATAAAAAGAGTGACCACTTCTCGGCATTTATAACTCCAACCTTGTATCAATAAAAAAAAAAAATTAGTCATATAAAATATATAAATACCGTATATATTGCTAAACATTAATCTAACACACCCTATGTTTTTTTGATAAGTAAGATTGAAGATAGTCTAGTTCCGTTAATTCTTCTAATAAGGAAGTAGCAACAGTTGCTACATATACGGGGAATTTAGCGCATCCGTTGACATAATTTAAAGGATCTTTAATTAAATATTCTATAACGCTATTTTTATATCCCACAAATTGATTGATTATTAATTTAGATTGGTTTTGATTTCGATCTCTACTTAAAAAAAAAAAATTACAAGTTTGATATTACTTTTTTTAAGATCGAGAAAAGAAGAATATTATTTAAATAGGCTGAAGAACTTACAAGTATGGGAATTTCTCCATAGAATTACCAATATAATTTGTAATTTGAATCGGTCCAATTCTCCTTTCCTCCTTAACCTCCTTATTTCTTATTCTATATATAATCCCGCGCCAATTGGGTTTTGCATTAACAGGCGATTTGCTAGTTGGCTCCTTCGATTTATTTGATTTTCTATTTTTTGAACTAGTTGAACGATCGCCAGGACCGAATGGAGGCAATCTTGCTTCTAATGGCATGTTTGAATAACTCGCATCATTCAGATTGTTTCTCGAATCTTCTTTTCTATTATAATCATCGTCTTCATTTGAAAAGGGATCAGGAAGACTATGCTTTAAATCACTATAAAACTACGATAAATATATAATTTAATAATTAATGCTATGATGTAAATAAGTGAAAACAAAATTTTATTAATCTACCTTTACATAATTAATCGTTCTTGCATTTTTAACGGAAACTATCCTTTGATTTTGATTAATAAAACTAGTTCCCTTTGCAGCTGGAGATTTTTTATTCTTTTCTTCCTGTTGCCTTCTCGATTTTACGGCTAGCTTATATTCCTTTAATATTTCTATACAATTATCTAAATTTTTTGATGGTTCCCAAGTTCTATCATCATAACCTAGGATAAAAAAAGAAAGAAAAATTTTAATAACATAACGTAAAATTAAATTATTTTTTAAATATAACAGTTACCTTTCCACTTGACACAATAATAAACATCACCACCATTTACAACTTGGTGATTCTCTATTCTTTCTACTTCATATTCGTCTTCTGAAAGATCACTTACTAGTTTACGTTTTTTACTTTCGTTGTCGTCTTCGGCTCTACGTTTTTTGCTGTATTCAGACATGTTGCTTCACGAAATTATAAATTCTTTGCGCGACTATTAACGAGCGTGAAATACTTATTTAACGAGAAAATTTTGTATTTTATATAACTGACCTTGGTAAGTTCGCACATGTACACATGGTAATAACGTTTTGTTGTGTAAGGAAAATCTTGTGAAACTATTCACGTGAAATTTGTAAATCGCACTTATCGTCTTATTGAGTGAAATGAAAAAGATGATAAATTAACAAATAAGAAAGTTCAGTTAACATGATGACGTACACGTTTTATTATACCCAATGGTGACTTTGTTGAAAAATTCTTCGATCACGTGACAATTTTGCCGATCATTGAATAAAATATACGTTATCCGTAATTTTGCATACTTAATGAACACTTTTGGATTTGTCCTGAATCTGTTAACATTTTAAAAGATATTTTTAAGAAACACGAATTAATTTACAAATCACTTATTATTAACAACCTGGACCAAGACAAATTTAAAGATCATAATATCATAATCACAGAATCTCCTGTATTCACCAGTTTCAATACACCCATTTCAACGATTTTTGATGCTCCAGACCTACATTGCATATTGATCAATATGATTCCTTCTTCAATTATCTCACCCTTCCGTGATGCTAAAATATCAAAGAAATTAACAAAAAATTACTCTTAACGTTCCTCTTCGACCTTCATAGAGATATTTATGAGCTCTTATGGAAAATTCGCACGTCCAAATGGAAACAATATAAAATTGACCATAATATCACAAAATCCACTTTCACTAAACGTACACATAATAGACGAGAACGCCAACGTCAGAATAATAATTTTGACACTTCTCCTAATAATCCAATAAATGACAATATACTCAACATAGGATATACTAATCCTTTCATGACTTCTACAAGAAACTTAGATGATTCCGTGCTTTGGATCTATTTAACAAGCTCAAATTTTCGTCATAACCTACCATGGATTAATTCATTATATTTAACCATCACAGACTCAATTACTTTTGATCAAAATTTGTTTTATTACAATATATAACCCCTTCGCACTTTATTTTAAATAGACTATACTTTCCTAGGACTAATAATTTTTACATATATTTTAATTCTTAGATGTTCGTTACTTTCAGATGGGTGGGTGCTCAGGTCTTTTGTTTTTTTTCTTTTTTTCTTTCTTTTATCCATTTGAAGTATTAGCGTAGTCCTAGTATTTTGAATAGTTTGTTCGAAGGGTGAGGTCCCGTAGGGGATTAATTCCCAAAATTCTATACACGTCTATTAGTTACCATCATGTAAATGTTGCCTGACTTTTATTTTGTAATAGTTTTGGGAGTACTACTCTTCTAGTAATAAAATAAAATAAATAAATAAATAATTTTGCATACTCTACAAGTTAGTGTAATTTTTGGCATAATTTTTCAAAATGATGGATTTTGCTAAAAATGACATTTAAAATCCTCTTTGTCAAAAAACAAAAATACATATAAAAATATTTTAGGGCTGTATAAAGCATTTGTTAAGTTTTGAAAAAATATCGGCAAATTGTCACGTGATCGAAGGATGGGTATCGAATAAATGCTTTATAAATATGGTTTATCGTTATATCGAGTTATGAGTTATGGCTGTATATGGCACAATAGCATTTCTTTTCTTTTACAGTAAATGCCACAGCTTAGCCATCTATGCGCATTTCGCATATGATTTGAAATTTGAATTTCAGTTCTAAATTTTTATATAATAAATTACTTTTTCATAAGTTTTTTCTCGTGTCATTAATTTCCTTATAAATATTTATTGCAAGACTTGTAAAAATTTTATCCTTAATTTCTGTAAAAACTCCGTGAACATTGAGGAAATAACATGGAATAAAAAAGACACAGAATAAATTTTTTATAGGGACGGAAGCAAGTAATCAATAATTTTATTATAAAGGATGTGAGCGAGTTTACTGCAAAAAAATCAGTTATTAATAACTGAAATATTTATAGGATCCTATAGAATCAAACTTTTTTAGCCATTCTTTATATTCATTAGTTTTGAACAATTACGACATTTTATGCATATTCTAGATATAGATTGAATGTAAAAACCTTAACCGATTAAAAACTGGTTATTCATCAGCAGAGTATTTAACTTATTTTACTTCACTTGTTTGAATATAGTTGCTAATATAATTATAAAATTCATGGGGGTAAAATCTCATGTAAGTTTACACAAGTTCACGTAAATGTTCATAAGAAATTCACAAGCTTACGCATAATTATATATATAAAAAATTTATAATAAATTTCTTATTAATTTTAATCCTTAATAACTCTGACTCTTCTTAACATTTTCGTTTCAAATTTCGTGAAAATATTCCAAATATCTGTGTCTTTTCCATAAAATATCTTGCTTTTTTTTTAAAAGAAAAGCCATTAACACTTTAATAATAATAAATCAAACCTTTCGTTCCGATAAAATTTTTTCTTTAGAAGTTCCAGGTGATTTCATGTTTCTTAAAGTCATCATATATCCGTTAAATTTTACAGCATTACTTAAATGTTAATAGAGCACAAGTTATAAAATTTTAAAATTTTGATAATTTACTGGGAAAATGACCCGTCAATCAATTGTAAGCCTGTGTAATATTGTATAATCATCATGTGCCTATATTTAATTTATAAACTGGGAAATCCTGGTTTTCGGAAATAATTCTGGTTTCAGATAAATGTAATAGTTATTTCACGGGGAGCAATGATTTTCACGGCGCGAAATAACTCTTTTATCTCATGGAGACTAACGTCCAGTGATGACCCGATTCCTGTCTTATTGGTCTATTTTTTTTGTTCATGAAAAAGGTATAAACAAACTATAAACATGTGAGCATGAAAAATCAGAAAAATTACAGGCATGAATACACGTGTATATCATCAAAAAAATCACTGGCGACCAATTAGTAAACATGAGATAAATATAGCTACTTTATACTGTATTTTATGTAATACGAAAAAAAATTTAATATTAAATTTTACTATACGACTTGAAATACTTTTACACCTCACCGTCGCATGGTTACGCCTAAAAAAATTTCCTGATGTAGAAAATTTTTTTTTTTATTAGAAAAATTTTCTATTATATATTTTTTTTGGGTTATACTAATTTCCCCCCTACTTCCAGATGGTGAACCGGGTCCGATTAATCAACATTTTGATTTGTAATCATTTGTAATCATCCGGACCCATGTCTTCTGCCGTCATTATATGGATCCGAGCTAATTCCACGTCGGATTCAATGGGCAAGAATTAGTATAGTCATTTTTTTTTTATCAACGTAATTTTTATCGTCTTTATTTGGTTATCCTTTTTTAATACATTTGAGTAAAAATAATTTAAATAATAAAAAATGCCAAAAATGATTGTAATAAGTATAATTAAACTTTAACTCCCTGTAAAAAAGGTCTATCCGTTTTTTATATTCCGTCTTTTTTCCGTAAAAGGCTCATATTTCCGGAATTAATAACCTTATATCCCGGAATTTATCGAATTATTTACATTTTCCGTGAATGGATCCGTAAAAGGCTCATTTTTACGGAGTTTTTACAGAAATAACGGATAAAATTTTTTATAGGGATACTATATCTACGAATAAATTATTATATATGTTATTTAGATATATAAGTTTAAATCACGATAAAATATCGTTATTATCCTTTATATGACTAAATTCAGTTTAATCATTTACTAATACATAACAGATTAATAATTTTAATACATTTTATTATTGTTCAAGCCTTATTAGCATCTTTTAATAATAAAATTTCCTGAAAAATTTTGTGTATCTATGCAGGACCCAAGCAATATATAAATAGGTATACGTAATGCCAATGCCATGCATTATCCAAAAAAAGGAGGAATCTACAGGTTCAAAACTTCTTATTGTTACCTTTTTATGTATAGCCAATGCTATTTCCAACATTTGTAAAATCATCATTCAGAAGTTGTAATGATAATAGTATTAATTACGGTTAATTTAAACAAATTCTATTTTAATTATTTGTATATTACACTTAAGGCATAGTAGTAAATTTAAGACCCTGTTCCTCATAACTCGGTTTTGATTTGCTTTCCAAAGCTGTTGCAAGTTGTTACGAGAAATTAAACGGAGGAAGTAGGTACTAAAAGCCTAGAAGAGTATTAGAACTAATTAGTAAACTAACATCGCTTATAATTTCCTTTTTGGCTGGTACCATTAAAAATTCTGAAACAAAATCATTTATAAATGTAGTCGCCAAGTCGGAACATCCGCCGTAAAAATAGAACATGTATTTTTTTTTAGAATTTGGTGTAGCATTTTTGGCAATGTTAAGAGTTTCTTTGGTCATTTCTTTTTATATAATTTTTATTAAAGCCAAAATATATATATTAAATGCTATATATCATATTGTATATTTTTTGAATTCATATAATTAACTCAATGGATGCTGCGGGTATTACAAAGATTAAAACAATCAAATTCAGTTAGTTTCAAACTATAATTTAAGTATTATCAACGATTAAAACAATCAAATTTAGTGAATCACAACATTATCATTTTGTAATGCATAACAAAAAAAAAAAAAATTAAAAACAATTAAATTTAGCAATAGAATACATAAACTAGTAAACTTAAATTTTTATTTTTGGTTTGAGCTGAATTTCAATTTAACGCAAATAATGATTAAGACTGTAAATAGACCTTCTTTATGTGAATTGATTAAAGTTGAAACCTTATAAATTAAAGTCGGTAAAGAAACTCCTTTTGGAATTTTTGTTGTATTTTTAAAATAATCGAATTAGGAATGTTCGGAATTGATCGATTTTATAACTTATTATATTTTTCCCATATAAAATAAAATAATATTTTCTATGAAACTTTCTAAAAAAAAAAATTTCATTACAAATTTTTTTTATTTTTTTTTTTTTGTATTATTTAATCATGAGTGTAATTTTTCGAAACAATACTTCATTAATAATATTTATAGCTCTCGTCGTAATATTGATTTCATGTCCGCCTATTCAAACTAGTAAAGATGATCCTTTTCAGGATGTTAAGGCTATAGGCGTTTATGCTAATGGAACAATGTTATTTGAAGTAAAAGATAGTCTTCGTTTAATTTATCCGAATGGAACCCCGCACTCTATTCCCAAAATTCACTGTAAACAATGTCATTATCATCTATTAAATTCAAGTTATGTAATTATAGAGAAACTAGAGAAACATAATCATTATTTAAGTATTTGGAAGGGGAACAAAATTTTAAAAAGTTTTAAGTATGATAAGTTAAATATTGGTGAGAAAAATGATAGATTTCTTATTATGAGACATAATAAATTTACTGAATATCGTATCGACCATGATGATGGAATAGTAGATATAACAAAAAGTTTACATTTCAATAATTTCAATAAGAGACATAAAGAACATAAAGAACATAAAGAACATAAAGAACATAAAGAACATAAAGAACATAAAGAACATATTATTACTAAAATCTTTTCATTGGATGATGCATGGGGAATTATATCTTTGGTAAAAACGAAATCCTTTTTTTCAATCATTAAAACTGAATCCAAAAGTGAAACTCTGACGACCAAAGAATTGGAAGATTTTGCCGGTCCCTCTAAATGTATTACTAAAAATAAAAATAATGATATTCAGTATTATTGCTTATATAGAACACATAATAATAGTTTAAAACTGGTTAATATAAACAATTTAACGGTATCTTCAAACGATAATACGTTTAATTTAACATCAATTGATTTATTCCAAGATAATATTAGTTTTGAAACTAAAACTTTAATTCATATTATGCCAAATGTTGGCTTCTTAGTAAAAGCTACAGCAAAATTAAACCCAAAGTATTATATATTTAATATTTTTGAAATCGATTATTTGGATCCAAATAATGCTTTTGGAGAATGGATAATAGATAAAAATGATAATGATTTAATTGATGACATTTTTATCTTTCCAAATAACACAGTTATTCAAATAAGAATGAATGGAACGTACGCATGGAATAATTTATCTTCAATAATACCTACAAGTACGTATCAGTTGGCATTTTATAATAGTATTTTTAAAATAACTTACTAATCTCTTAATTCATTTTTTTATTAGATAATCCATACAAAAACACTCATATTAAGAGTGTGTATCCATCAAATAATGTTAATATTGGTACAACCACATTAAATATAACATTCCTCAACGCTATTGCTTTAATACAAACTACTGCTAATATTTCAATCTATTATGAAACCGGGATAAACAATAGTACTTTACGTCATAAGTTTTTATGTGTGAAACCACATTGTATAATAAGTGATAATTCGCTTTCGCTTACAGCTGATATACCAGAATTTACTTTCAACATGCCCAATGCAATTTATTATGTTGAAATCGATGATGGTTTTGTCAAATATAAACATGATAATATAACAATTCCTGGTATAAAAGAGAAAAATTGGAATATAACAACTCTGTCAACAGGTATTTTATTAACTACTGTCCCTGATTGTAAATTTCATTTATTAACTAATTATTAAGATTATATATATATTTTTTAGAATCTAAATGCTCAAACAAAGATGATAGTAAGTATAAAAATTATTATCCTTATAATTCATTAAATTCGTTAAGCTGAAATTTTATTGAAAACTACAACTTTAGATTTTAAACTTGGTAAATTACGTTTTAATTCCAATGGTACTGAGGAATTTCGAAAATTGCCAGATGCAGATAAAAAAATTTTTTCTGAGCAAATGAGAATTGAACTTGCGAATAGTATTCCAGTTGATGATTCAAGAATTGAGATAAACGATAATAAATATGAATTTGACATGGTTTCAAGTGTAAATTTGTATTTTTCTATTCAGATTAATCCTCCAAACGAAGATAGTTTTAATAAAAAATGTTCAGAAGAAGTTTTTGACGATTTAAATTCTTTAATTAAAACTAGTAAAAATTTTACAACAATTCTTGATTTAAATAATCATAATAATCATACAGAAAATATTGATAAAGATTATGGATTTCAAGAAGCAAGTAAGTAAACGTGTTTATTTATTTATTTATTTACGTTGAATATTGTAATAATAAATATTAATATATTATGTATCATTTTAAAGGTAGCACATTTGAGAAACTTATAGCTAGTTTTAAAAACTTCATAGCGAATCGTCAGTATTTAATAGTAATAATAGTTTGCTTAATTCTAACAATGTTATATTTTTATGGAAGATACAAGAATAAAAAGGTATAGTCATTATTTGAATTATTTTTTTGGATAATCAAAAACTAATATATTTGTTTTATTTTAGGGAACAAATATAATTGTATTTAAAGTTGCATTAATTATTATTGATCTTATAAATGATATAAAATTTATTATTAAACTTAAAACCATTTCATCGGATCTTTTTATTCCGAGGTATATCTTAATTTTTTTTTTTTTGATTATTATATTTATTATATCATAATAATCTAACTTATTTTTATATTATTACTAGTGTTTTGTTTTTATTATTTCCTTTTATTTTGAATGTATTTTTTGCCATTGCAATATTCAAATTTGAAATACAAAACTCTATAAATTCTGAATGGTTCAAAAATTACATAAAACCAGTTGCAATTGCGACAATTTTAAGTTCAGGAGATATTGAATTACTTCATATATTTGATTCAAATTTTGGTGGATTTAAAATTTTTTCAGTAAAATTTTCTTCAGAAACATTAAATTTAATATTCTGGGGAGGATTTTCGAATATTATTCTGGAAAATTTACCTCAATTAGTAATTCAGGTACAGTAATTATTAATAAAATGGTGTTTTTCAGTGCTAATTTTTTCTGTAATTGATTTTTTTTTAAAAAAAAAAAAAATTTATTTTTGGTAGATTCTTTATGCTACTATTAAATCTTCCTCTGGTATAAGTGACGTCAGCTCATTATTTACATTAATTATCAGTATTATTGTTTTTCTGGTTAGTGTAATTGAGTGTAGTTATCATATACTCATGAATAATAAGAATGGCAACCATGTTGGAATTCAATCTGATTATATTGTAGAAAGAGATATAAAACATTAAGAATTATAATTATTTTACGTGACATCTACTTTAAGTCAATTAGAGTAAACTTTAGATCTCGTAACATTAAAATTTAAAAATGATACGGAACGTGGACATTTTTTTTTTTTTTTATAAATATTTGCACGCTGATATCATGAGGCGCTGTTGTATACCATGTCCCAAACCTTACCATCGGCCTAAAGTATCGGCCCAATCTAATAATGCCTTAAGACTGATCTCCTAATTTAGGCCGACCCTATAAAAAACTTTTTAGAAATTGATTTCATATGGTAAAAATGATCATTTATCGGAATTTTTTCCAGAAAATTTTTTATAGAGCGATGGTAAGGTTTGGGACATTGGTCTACAACAGGCGCAATATTGTACAACCGTACGCATCAAAAATTTTTTTATGTATCATATCAGATAGAATTATTTTTTTTTGCATTTTATTAATTTAAAACAAACCAACATAAATCAATTTCAGATGAGTAGATATAATAGCTAATAAACATCAATATTGATCAAATCTTTCAACTTATGAAATTTTGTGTCAAATGCTACCAAATCACTTAAATAACAAACATCTACTATACAACTTCTAAACTGTACATTATAGAACCTATTAAAACAGATGTATGACCATATCTTCCAAGAGGTGACCTAATTCTTCTGATTATTTATTTTCAATTATTGAAGAAAGAAAGTTACTGTTTTTTATTGCGATACGTTAAAGAAGATAATATAGTTATTGAGTATGGTATATACCTCCGATGTTGTATAGTATAGTGTAAAAAAACTATACTGTATAGATAAAAATATAAAAAATTATGCTGTATAGATAAAAAATTAATACTGTATAGATTTTCGTCAACTATACTATACAACATCGGAGGTATATATCATATTCAATATCGTTTATCGGTTAAAGAACAAGTATATTAATAATATTTATTTAATAAACATAATAAATTTTGTTATAATTTATTTTATTGGAAGAAGGAAAGATACACTATTAGAATATACGGAAAGAAAAAGTTACTAATCTAACGTACTAACTATCATATCACTATTCTATATCACAAATGCATCCCATTCAAGCAAACGAGCAAGCCGATCTTTCGTAGGAGATAAACAATAAACGTATTTAATCTGATATGTAAATATAAAACTAGGAAACAGAACCGTTATGAGTCCGAAGCAGAGCAAAAAACGATAATGCGATTTTATTGGGTAACCACAATTTTTCATAATAAGCGGACAATCATCATGTGATGTAAATTGTGATCTAAGTTTCATTTTACCCGGCTCTTTATACAATATTTATACATAAAATATTTTCAAGCAATTATCAAGCTTTCTGCTTCTACGAAAGAATTAGATGAAGTAAAGGGAATCTTATATGGTGATTTTCAATGACTTTTATGCACGATGACACTGGAAATAAAAGGACAGATCAAGAATATCCACTTTTTAGTCGATACAAGTTCTCCAAGAATTTTTATATGTAAAGAAGTAATAAATTCATATAACCTATCTATTACTGATCCAAAAGGACCTATTTCAGTTAGACTTAATAAAAGACAAATTCTGTAAAAGTATCAGATGATGATAATTTCAGAGATTTGAACATCCTTGGGACAGATTTTTTAACTACACATAGGGCGCTCTTGGAAGTCTCGGAAGAAGTCATCCCTTCTTCATTTGCGTTGCGTCCTATTTTTCAGTCGAATTATAATTCACATTTAATAGTTGAATAACCTGAATTTATTAAAAATTAATACAATTATTTTTTACGTATAAGTTGTTCGATAGCAAATAAAATCAAAATAATTGAAATTTTTTATTTAATAAATTTTTTATACTATATAGTGATTGCTATTCTAATATTAGTTATTTATGAGGCAAATTCATAAAAATATGTATATCTGCGACGTAATTCTATTTAAATTGATCTAATTATAATTAAATCTTCAAAAAAATGAACTTGAGCCGTACGTAAGTCATCAAATTTGAGATTTGAAGTTTCAATTTTTATATTATCATATTATAAAAATGAAATATTTTTTAGAAAATAAAAAACCTACTTGAAATTTAAGAAATATTAAATAAAAAACATAAGTAATGTCTAATCTAATTGTATTAAAAAAAAAACAATAAATTTAAAAATACTAATGTACATTATTGTTATTATTATTGTTGTTATTATTACTATTGTTATTATTATTGTTATTATTATTGTTATTATTATTATTATTATTTCAGTTCTTTAACAGAACTGAAGGGCTCCGAGAACGAGAGGGAAGGGCCGGCAAGGAAGACACCAAGTTCAACGTATATATTATGATAAATGGGACCAAGCAGCTCATTTACCAGACTAAAAGACCACAAACTTTTTTCCCACTCAATCTAATAACAATGAAACATGATATTGAAGATAAAAGTGAACAGAGTGAATCAGAACAGAACTGCTTTTTTAGTTTAATTTATTATCAACAACTGCTGTTAACAGTTCTTTTTTTTTTCTTTTGTAGGCAATTCTTCAGGAATTTAGATGTGCAGGTTTGGTTGGTGTTCCTTTTAGTTTATTTTATTTCTAATGAACTATTACTAACAGTTCATTTTTCTTCTTTTTTTTAGACATACACTTTTGATTTGAAGCATCCAAATTTCAGGCAAGTTTTCGAAAATACTTTGAAAACTTTACTTGAAAACTTTACACAAGTAAAAAAAAATAATTTTTTAAATTTTAATTTTTGTACCGATTTCAATAGGTAACATTATCGAAACTTTTTTTCGGTATTTCAGTATGTGAAGAGCTTTAGAACCCAATTCGCTAAAACTTACAGAATGTAAAAGTAATAAAAAAATTTTTGATTCTCAACAAGTTTCCCAATATGTTATCGAAACAGCTTATTATTTAATATAAAAGGGAGAAAATGAAATATCAGTAAGTGTCTCATTAAAATAACCCATTCCAGTTTCCCTAGTACCAAAACCAGTAAGTTCCAAAGTTGGACTTCAAAATTATTTTTTCTCTTTTTTCGAGAAATTTTTGTAAAGATTTTTTTCCCTCCTTTTGTAGGTTTCAGATTTTAAGGTGACGTACAGTCTAACCTCGATATACCGATATTCAATATACTATTAAAAACTTGATATACCGATAAAATTTTATTTTCCCACAGGACATATAAATATCGGTATAACTTTGATATACCGATATTTCCTAAAAATTTCATATATGTCCCGACATATCGTTATATAATGGTTTGACCGTATTTAACAACTAAGTTTAAAAAACATATTTACTAAATATTTACTGCTTCAATAATAAATTTTTTATGTATAGTAACGATTTTTTGAACAGGTGGTGATATTGACCTGCGATCGTCTTAATGCGCGGCAACTGCGTGTAGACTAATGCTTTACCAGATCGTATCAAAATTTTAGTTAAAAGTTATACTATCTAGTTACCATTTTGCTATTTTGTTACTAAAATATGCGTTTCAGCAAAGATGTTCATAAGAATTTACAAAACTTACACAAGCTTACGCATATTTATACAAATTTACGTAAGCTTACACCGTCGCATTGGGATGTATTATAAAAATAGTTTAACAAAAGTATATCATGTCATATAGTAAAATTTACTTGGAAATTTTTTTTGCATTAAACTATACTGTATTATAATTTATACTATAATCATAAAAAATTTATAATAAATTTCTTATTACTTAATAACTCTAACTCTTCTTAACATTTTCGTTTCAAATTTCGTAAAAATATTCCAAATATCTATCTTTTCCATAAAATATCTCGCTTTTTTTTAAAAAAATGCTATTAACACTTCAATAATAATAAATCAACCTTTTATCCCGATAAAAAATTTTTTATTTAGAAGTTCCAGATAATTTCATGTTTCTTAAAGTCATCATTGTCATCATCTATCCGTTAAAATTTACAGCATGATTACTTAAATGCTAATAGAGCACAAGTTATAAAATTTGAAATTTTAGGATAATTTACTGGGAAAATGACCCGTATTAAGTTATTGTAATATTGTATAATCATATTACCTCGTTACAGTATTCATATCATTATCCTTTATATGACTAAATTCAGACCAATCATTTACTAATACGTTTGATATTGATCGTTGTATAACAGATTAATAATTTTAAAACATAAAATTTCCTGTGTACCTATGCAGGACCCGAGCAATATATAAATAGGTATACGTAATGCCGCTGGCATTATCCAAAAAAAGGAATCTACGGGTTCATTATACGCAAACTTCGTATTGTTACCTTTTTATGTACTGTATTGTCAATGCTATTAAAAAAATGTCGAAATGAAATTAGATAAATAATTATATGCTAATATTTATTACAAATTTTTTTTTATTAGTATACATCGAATTCTAAAAAAAATATATGTTCTATTTTTACGGATGTTTTCGACTTGGCGACTTCATTTATAAATAATTTGTTATTTCATTTTGTTTCAGAATTTTAATGGTACGAGCCAAAAAGGAAATTATAAGCGATGATAGTTTACTAATTAGTTCTGGTTTAGTCTAGGCTACTTCCTCCGTTTAATTCCTCGTAACAATTTGCAACAGCTTTGGAAAGCAAATCAAAACCAAACCGAGTTATGAGGAACAGGGTCTTAAATTTACTACTAGTATGCCTTAAGTAGTGTAATATGCAAATAATTAAAATAAGAATTTGTTTAAATTAACCTTAATTAGTACCATTATAATTTTTATTAAAGGTAAAATAAATATTAATGCTATATATATTATATATTTTTTGAATTCACATATTAACTCAGTGGATGCTGTGGGTATTACAAAAATTAAAACGATCAAAATTCAGTTAGTTTCAAAATATAAATTCAATCAAGTATTACCAACAAATAAATTTGTGAATCACAACAATATCCCAATTAATGCAAGTATTACAAAAAAAAAAATTAAAAAAATTAAATTTAGCAATAGAATACATAAACTAGTAACTTAATTATTAATTGCGCTAAATTGAAATTCAGCTCAATCCAAAAATAAAAATTAAGACTGTAAATGGACCCTTGTCACATCAACAAAAACGTTCTTTATGAGAATTAATAAATTTAATAAAGTTGAAACAGGACCTTGTTACGTAGATTACGTACAAAATTAAAGTCGGTAAAGAATCTCCTTTTGGAATTTTTTTTGATGATCGGTTTGGATGTTGTATTTTTAGTAATTAAACAATGTTAAAATAATCGAATTAGGAATGTTCTCCAGAATAATTTGATCGGTTTCATAACTTATATTTTTCCCATATAAATAAATATTATCTATGAAACTTACTAAAAAAAAAAAATTTCATTAAAAAAAATTATTATTTTTTTTTTTTGTATTATTTAATCATGAGTGTAATTTTTCGAAACAATACTTCATCAATCATATTTATAGTTCTCGTCATAATATTGATTTCATGTCCGCCTATTCAAACTAAAGATGATCCTTTTCGGAATGCTAAGGCTATAGGCGCTTATGATGATGGAACAATTTTAGTTGAAGTAAAAGATAGTCTTCGTTTAATTTATCCGAATGGAACCCCGCACTCTATTCCCAAAATTCACTGTAAAAAAAAATGTCATTATCATCTATTAAATCCAAATTATGTAATTATAACTTACGATAATAATGTAGGTATGATGATAGATTGGAAGGGGAGCAAAATTTTAAAAAGGTTCAAATATGATAAATTAAGTATTGGTGAGAAAAATGATAAATTTCTTATTATGAGACATAATGAATTTACTGAATATCATATCGAACATGGAAAAATAGTAAAAATAACAAATAGTTTACATTTCGATAAGAGCCATAAAGAACATAAAGAACATAAAATTACTGAAATCTTTTCATTGGATGATGCATGGGGAATTACTATATCTTCGGAAAAAAAGAAATCTTTTTTTTCAATCATTAAAACTGAATCCAAAAGTAAAACTCTGACGACCGAAGAATTGGAAGATTTTGCCGGTCCCTCTAAATGTATTACTAAAAATAAAAATAATGATATTCAGTATTATTGCTTATATAGAACACATACTCATAGATTAAAACTGGTTAATATAAAAAATTTATCTTTGAATGATAATACGTTTGATTTAACATCAACTGATTTATTCCAATCTGATATTAGTTTTGAAACTAAAACTTTTATTCATATTATGCCAAATGTTGGCTTCTTAGTAGAAGCTACAGCAAAATTAAACCCAAAGTATTATATATTTAATATTTTTGAAATCGATTATTTTGATCCAAATAATGCTTTTGGAGAATGGATAATAAATAATAATGATAATGATTTTATTGACGATAACATTTTTATCCTTCCAAATAACAAAGCTATTCAAATAAGAAAGAATGGCAAGTACGTAAATGATTTATCCTCAAAAATACCTGAAAGTACGTATCAGTTGGTATTTTATAATAGTATTTTTAAAATAATTTACTAATCTCTTAATTCATTTTTATTTATTAGATAATCAATACAAAAATACTCATATTAAGAGTGTACCAAATAATGTTGATATTGGTACAACCACATTAAAAATAACATTCCTCAACGCTATTACTTCAACAACAACAACTGCTGCTAATATTTCAATCTATTATAAAAACAAAAACAGTAACGAAATTATTTTACGTCAAAAGCTTTTATGTAAGAAACATTGTACAATAAGTGACGACGATTATTCGCTTACAATTGATATACCAAAAATTACTTTCAATATGCCTAATACAACTTATTATGTTGAAATCGATGATGATTTTGTCAAATATAAATATGATCTTATAACAATTCCAGGTATAAAAAAGGAAAATTGGATTATAAACACGCCAGGTATTTTATTAACTACTGTCACTGATTGTAAATTTCATTTATTAACTAATTATTAAGACTATATACTGTATATATTTTTTAGATTATAAATACTCAAACGAAGATGATAGTAAGTATAAAAATTATTATCCTTATAATTAATTCATTAAATTCATTATCGTTAAGCTGAAATTTATTAAAAACTACAACTTTAGAGTTTAAACTTGGTAATTTACGCTTAAATTCCATTGGTACTGAGGAATTTGACAAATTGTCAGATGCAGATAAAGATTATTTTTCTGATCAAATGAGAATTGAACTTTCGAAAAATATTCCAGTTGATTATTCAAGAATTAAGATAAACGATAAGAAATATGAATTTGACATGACTTTAGGTGTAAATTTGTATAAGTTTCTTATTCAGATTGATCCTCCAAATGAATATAGTGATAATAAAAAAAGTACAAAACAAGTTTTTGAAGATTTAAATTCTTTAATTATAACTAGTCAAAATCTTACAACAAATCTTGATTATAATAATTATACAAAAAATATTGATAAAGATTATGGACTTAAAGAAGCAAGTAAGTTATTTATTTACTTACTTTAAATATTGTAATAATAAATATTAATACAGTATATTATTATGTATCATTTTAAGGTGACACATTAGCGGAACTTAAAGCAAGTTTAAATAACTTTATTGCGGATCGTCGGTATTTAATAATAATAATAGTTTGCTTAATTCTAATAGCAATGTTATATTTTTATGGAAGATACAAGAATAAAAAGGTATAGTTCATTATTTGAATTATTTTTTTTTGATAATCAAAAACTAATATATTTGTTTTATTTTAGGGAACCAACATAATTGTATTTAAAGTTGCATTAATTATTATTGATCTTATAAATGATATAAGATTTATTATTAAACTTAAAACCATTTCATCGGGTCTTTTTATACCGAGGTACTATATCTTAAATTTTTTTTTTTTTTTGATTATTATATTATAATTAACTTATTTTTATATTATTACTAGTGTTTTGTTTTTATTATTTCCTTTTATTTTGAATGTATTTTTTGCCATTGCAATATTCAAATTTGAAATACAAAGCTCTATAAATTCTGAATGGTTCAAAAATCACATAAAACCAGTTGCAATTGCGACAATTTTAAGTTCAGGAGATATTGAATTACTTCATATATTTGATTCAAATTTTGGTGGATTTAAAATTTTTTCAGTAAAATTTTCTCCAAAAACATTAAATTTAATATTCTGGGGAGGATTTTTGAATATTATTCTGGAAAATTTACCTCAATTAGTAATTCAGGTACAGTAATTATTAATAAAATGGTGTTTTTTTTTTCAGTGTTAATTTCTGTAATTAATTTTGGTAGATTCTTTATGCTATTAATTCTTCTTCTGGTATAAATGACGTTACCGCATTATTTACATTAATTATCAGTATTATTGTTTTTCTGGTTAGTGTAATTGAGTGTAGTTATCATATATTCATGAATAATAAGAATGAAAATCATGTTGGAATTCATATCGTAGAAAGAGATATAAAACATTAAGAAGAAAAATTATGATTATTTTACATTCATCTACTTTAAGTCAATTAGAGTAAATTTTAGATTTCGTAACATTAAAATTTAAAAATGATACGGGAAAGTGTTTTTTATAAATATTTGCACGCTGATATCATGAGGCGCAATATTGTACAACCGTACGCATCAATGTATCATATCACAGAATAGAATCATTTTTTTGCATTTTATTATTTTAAAATATATCAACATAAATCTGAGTAGATATAATAGCTTAGTTTAATTCTTTTTGTTTATTTGAAGACGGATATTTATTTTCAATTATTGAAAAAAGAAAGATACTATTTTTATTACGATACGTTAAAGAACAAATATACTAATAATAATATTTATTTAATAATAAACCTAATAAAATTTATTTTATTAGAAGAAGGAAAGATACACTATTAGAATATATAAAAGGCAAAAGTTACTAATTAGTAACTACCGTAAATCGCGGGCCACAATACCCCGGTATCTGGCAAATTTCGGATGTTTGGCCCTGTATCCAATATTACGCGAATTTTTACTGTTAATAGAGAGTGTTTAAAACTTATAAAATAATTAGGGTATTGTTACACGTCACACCTAAGATATTTGTTGGATTGTTTAAATAATAAAATCAATGGAGAATGTGGCTTCTTTTTGAGAGGTACTATACATGCATAGGGTGTACTATGGCCCGTAATATACGGTATATCGCTATTCTATATCACAAATGCATCCCATTTAAACGAGCAAGCGGATCTTTTGTAGGAGGTAAACTTAATAAGCGTATTTAATCTGATATGTAAATATAAAACTAGGAAACAGAACCCGTTATGAGTCCGGAGCAGAGCAATACTACTAAAATTTGCGATGACTACAAATTTTCATAAGCATACAATTCGGACAATCATCATTATGATGTAAATTGTGATTACGAATATCTAAGGTTCATTTTACCCGGCTTTATATATTTGCACATAAAAATATTTTCAAACTCTTGAAAGTCTGGGAAGAAGTCATCTCTTCTTCATTTGCGTTGCGTCCTATTTTTTGGTCGAATTATAATTCACATTTAATAGTGAATAATCTGAATTTAAAAATTAGAAATTTTTTATTTAATAAAATTTTGATAATATACTGTATATATTAGTTATTTATGAAAAAAAATTTAAAGTTACATCATACGTATATCTGCGACGTAATTCTATTTTAAATTGATCTAATCGTAATTAAATATTCAAAAAATGTTTGTTTCGATTTTATATTATCCATATTATAAAAATGAAAATTTTTTAGAAGATAAAAACCTACTTGCTTGAAATAATAAAAAACCTACTTGAAATTTAAGAAATGAATAATAAATACATAAGAAATGTCTAATCTAATTGTATTAAAATATGTATAAATACAGCACATATAAATATATATTTACTTTGTAAAAAAATAAAATAAAATAAAAACAAAAGATTTAAAAATAACAATGACCATTATTGTTATTGTTATTATTATTATTATTATTATTTCAGTTCTTTAACAGAACTGAAGGGCGCCGAGAGAGGGAAGGGCCGGAGCGGAGGAAGGTTTTTTTAAATAACAGATAAAACCACTCCGTTAAATGAAATGTAAAAATGGTGTAGCCCTATATAAAATCCGGGAACCACATAAATATTAATATTAATATTATCGAAAAGAACATATGTTCTATTTTCGACCAAAAATACGGGAGCGACGAAATAAGGGATTTGGTATTGTTGGTCCATTTTTTTTTTTTTTAATTAATAAAGTAGTTTAATAAATAATTTTTTATTTGTTATTTATTGGTTGAAGCCTCAGTCTTTTCGAAGACCTATTTATATTGAATTTCACTTTCCGCTTTATATTATAAAATAATATACGCGCCTATTGAGCATCAAAAAAAACTATTCTTTGTTGTGTAATTGTTATATTTGTATATACTTGACAATATTCAAAACTATCATCTTTCAAAAACAGGATATAAATCTCGTCATTATCAACAAGAAACTAAACTGGTTTAACTGGTTTCTGACTTTTTAAGTCTTTGATATCGGTGAGAAAATTTTGATCGTCGCACAGAGCTCAGTTATTTAATTACGAATCGATTTTTTAGAATTTTTTTAATGTAGAAATATAGGTTATCAATACTAATCTGTTAATATCACAAATGTTTTCGGATTATGAATATTTGTTTTCGATGGAATTTACCTTTTTAAAGTTGATATAATATAATAAAAATCATATGCTAATTATATCGTGGAACATTTCTATTGTAAACATCTAACGAATGAACGATAAATTTGGTTAATGAGAGCGAGATAAGAGATTTGAAATTATTGGTTCTTTTGTTTTTATTCAGATGATGATTTAAATGATTTGCTTTAATAAAACTAAAAACAAAGACTGCATTATAATATGACATAAATAAAGTGAATCAACTGTAAATAATATATTACGGTAAATTACAGCTCAAAGATGATGTTTTTAATATTTATATTATCCGTATTGTCCGTGTGAATATTTAATTAATTGATTAGAAATAAATTTATTTATATTTTATATCATATTATTAATTTTTTTGCATGTTACATAAACCTTTCAGAAACGCTCATTTCAGATATTTTTGAATAAGATAAGTTGAATTTTTTTTTGTTACCCTAATTTGGACACATTGGATCGATTTTTTAAGAAACGGCTGCGTCATTAATTACAGGGACATCGAACATCGAACTTTACTATAAAGGATTAATCATATAACCTTTTAGATTTGTTCATTCAAAGAACGCCAAGTTGTTGAGCATATGATAGTATATTAATATTATCTCACTTAATATCATAAGTCCTGTAAAAGAAATAACCTTTTTTTTAAAAAAAAAATTGTGATATAAAAGAGAAAAAATGATAGTAATAATAATTATCATACATGTCAATATGCGATAGGAGAACTCAATTATATTGAACAGATGATAAATAAATTCAAAAATGTGTTCACTATTAAAATAAAATATTTTATTGCGTTTTCAGAATTTCTGATTGTAATTGAGAGATTATCAATCTTCAAATACAGTACTGTATAACCTACAGTACTATATAGTAATATATAATATATTTATATATTTTTTTTATTAGAACTTTTTTAATTTCAATAAATAAAAAAAATATATATATTTCAAAATTTCAATGATTTCAAATATTTACTCAACTGCTGATCACAAATAAAGTAATGAACTGAAATATACAGATAACTCAAATTACATAAATAATAATAATATAGTTCTTTTAATATAATTAGTTATGATGAATCGATAAGATTTTTTCATTTAAACAAAGTTCTTTTTTCTCTGTCGTGTTACTTTGATGATCGGATCACTTTGTTTTTTAACCTTTTAATTGTTTGTCCACAACTTGCTGTATGCTAATTTCGAATTTTTTAAGTATTCGAAATCTCTGCGCATAATTAACGAAAAGAAAGAATAAAGGATACCTTAACAATTATTTTCATGTAAGAATTTTATGATTAAAGATAGTCGATATGAACAATTAATGTGACTGAGGTAGTACATCATTTACTTAGACGACACGTTTCGATAAGTAAGTAGTATACTAATGCATCAATATATGTGATAAGTCGTTTATTATTTTTTCAAAGAACAATCTCAAAATGTATGTTTTAATTATCATGAAACATTTTCTCCTGTAAACAAAAACAACTAACGATGAAGATATATAAGGAAGATTTTTCCTTTATGGACAAGTTACTTTATGTTGAACTGCATATACTAATTACATCATTGAACAAGTTTTTTTTAAAAAGATAAAAAAAAATTTTCATTTACGGAACCTCATTCGGAGTTTGAGATTTTTTTTAACTTCAAAAACGGGAATAGGCTTGGGAAATTTTCGACACAAAAAAACCATATACCAACCCCGATCTGTGTTCAACTGTCGAGCATAACTCCGCATAAATTTATATAATTCCGCATAATGCGGGCCAAATGTCACGTGATTTCCAACAACATTTCCTTTTTGGGTTTTTAACGACGAAAGGTAAAGAGGTTCAATATGTTTGTTCTAGGCGTATCAAACAATTACGCCAATTATGCAAGAGTAACATACGATTTTTCAAAATCATATGGTGTGTAATTATTTATGATAATGAAATTCTTTAAAAGGAACAAATAACTAGGGATTAAAATAACCATCTTTGGATTGTTATTTTAAAAGTTTGCATATATTAAAGTTTTTTTTTAATCA